GAGATCAACTGAGCTTCTATGTCAGATCGAAGAACTTGAAATATATTTACTACACATAACCGAGAAACAGGGGAAAGGGAAACCTCCACTGAAGAAAACAGACATAAAATACAACGGAAAATTGATAATCACGCTTCTAAAGTACTCTTAGGAAACCCTCAAGAAATTATCAACGCCCCAAGTAGTCCCATTGTTGTAGTCATAAAATTGATAATAATAGGTAAGAGAACTCAGAAACATGTTGAGCCCTGACCATATGAGCTGTGAAATTATGGTCCAGTTTGGTATTAGTACATTTGTCTTCGTTGCTATAATGATAGACCCAATCACGAAATTCTAGTTTCGTCATGACATGATTACCTAACCTTTAAAATCCTACGTGTAAATTACATCATAGTCTATTCTGCCTCGTCACATCATGGCATTTAACAATACGATATTTGGCACTATTAAGGAACACATTTGGACTGTGGATATATTTTAATGTGATTAGGAATTTGTTTTACAGATGACCACGAGTGGAAGTTTGAGTCATGCCATAATGATGAATTGTTACCACGTCCACCATTTTTGATATCTTCTTAGTGTTATATTTTAAAAATGTTTCTCCCTGGTAATTATACTCTCATCTTTCAAGATCGTGTATTCAGGAACTAATACCAATTACAGACCTATTAACGTTATCCTGACTTCTGAAAAAGTGAAATCAATTTTAACTAGTGCGCTAATTCAAGAGATCACTTTCATCTGAAAAAGAACTTATGTTTTTTCAAGAGGTGAATAGAACAGAAGATGGCGCTAGCTGAACTAAGACCCCCTCAAAAAGATGATGAAGAAAATATCCGTTTAGTGTGTTTCGGAGCATTCAGGTTTTGGAATCCAATTCTACCAAATCCTATTTGGATAGATTGTTTTCGTTAGGGTTTTTATACACAAATGCTCGTAGTCTAAGGACTAAGTTCTAAGTGTAAGGAGTATTATTGAACAAATTAAAGGCACTCTTATAAGCTATGACCGAAACCTAGTTAGTTCATGACTTCGACGTCACTTCAGAGCTTACCAGATACAACTTTCTAAGAAGTGAGAGAAACAGGTGCAGGAAGGTGAGAATCCTCATCTACATAATCATCCATTTCTTTGTTTGTGAATCTCATGATTGTGAAACTTACGAAGTCACTAACCGTGACCTCAACTTTGAATGTTCAATGTAACGACCGAAATGTCAATATTCGGTTTGAACGGGGAACTAACTAATCAAGATTTGTTCGATTAAACCAGACTACACTCTTCTATATGGTGTGCAAATTTTTTTCAGTTATTCATATTAAATTATATCAAAACACAAACATTGTGCTATATTTAAAAGGTTCTAACTCACGAAAGGGAACAAATCATATCAGAAATGCGAAATACGTCAGATGGTTCAGCCTATACTATGCAGTCAAGGGTTTCTCAAACATAAATAAGCGTTCTGTGAGTCAATAAAAATGTTCTCAACAAGACGGGATCGGTTATCTATCTGCAGGAATTCCATCAATCTTTCCAAACAGACTGTCGAAGGTTAGCAGCCACACGCTTGTCAATGCCTTGATTTTGGTCTTATGCAAACACTACCTCGTTGTCAATAGTCCGGCGACATGCAACAAAAAAATTACGTAAAAATAGGTGAGTCTATAATCAAAGTCAGACAATAAAACCTCAAACGAGGAAGATTGGAGAACACAAAGTGTGGTTTACAAAGATCTGAATAAAGGGTAAAACAAACGACAGGGGGAAGAAACAAATAAATAAAAGTACTGTTCAGCGAGATACTGTGGAGGGATTTCCAGGATTTTCTCTCCGTTTTCTTTTCGCCTAGTATCTGGATTGATCATGAATATAATAGACGACATCGTCATTATTATGAATATAGAACACATGGTTTACCCTAACCCATTATTCGTTGATCATTATTCACGCCTTCATGCTCCTACATCTCACTTTCAGATTCCGAGTCTCTCTAATGGTTAAAATTGCATCATTCTTCATAAGTGTCCTGTCCTTTTTCTATTACAAGTAGACAGATAACTCACTAATCTCATGGATGCTGATCAACAATGGCCGATCATAGTAAGCTCAGACTATCCTAAATTCTTGTGAGTCACTCAATGTTTTATTTTCTTACTCTGAAAATTTTAAGATTCCAAAGTCTCGCGCATTCTTTGACATCCTATCTATCCTTACCATCTCTAAACCACACATAATGGGACCTGTGTTTTGTAACCTTTAAAATTAGTTATCTTCATAACAATGTGACATAATAAATGGATATCCAACCCATAATACAGAAGCTTTAACCATCGGATTTGCTTATAACATGAAACTAGCAAAGGCAGTATATTCCAGATAAGCGCTTAAATTAAAGCAACTTTTATTCACACCACAATCATAAGAGAGCCTGACATAACAAAAGGAGAATGCTCAGCGTTACTGACCAGTAAACATGGTGGTGGAGAGGTAACTTCAATACACTCACATCTATAGGGCAGAACACGTTGTTAAATTACTGTCCATTATGGTCAAGTGGGATGTCACGAACCAATGGTATTGATTCTAATTTATTATACAAAATACCTCTTTAAATCGTGTTGGTGACGTTGAATTGGCTTCACTTCGCACCTATTGATCCTGTTAGGAGCAAAAATAGGCAATTAGCCAAAAACAACGCCTGCCTATAAAACCAATGAAAGTAAAAATGAGCTGAAACAGCTTTGAAAATATAGGGAAATAGCTGTTTGTGTGTCAGAATACTATTTTCAGTACCGCATTTCAAAACTATACATAATCTCATACTTTCAGCTTCATTTTAACCACCTTCATTTATAAAGTTCTTTATTTACTCACACCTTATTTGAGCTTATTTTGTTTAACCAGTTAGGATGCTCTTCCTTGAAAAGTATCATAATAAAAGAGAATTGAACTAATTAGTCATACCTTGAATGTTCCTCCACAAATGAATCAACTTCAATAGGCATCGACAATTTTTGCTCTGCTTCTCGTCCTCCCTTTTTATTATCCTTTTTTCAGCCACCTCAAGATATGCCACCAAAAACACACATGGAATTAGTGACTTCGTCCTTCGCCATGGTTAATGTCGTAGATATTCCCGAGAGATATAAGGCCACGGTTTACAGTAGCCCTCAAATTTATGTAGATTTACTTCTGACTATCAGTTGCACGTTGCAATTCAACCTCTATAAAGCGCTCCAATCATCATATTGACCATACGAATCTTAAAAATATCATTTACATTCATATGTGATAAGTGTTATTCCCCATAATTTTATGATCAGTGTACCTTATAGAATATCAAACTCACTGAGTAATCCACCACAGTGAAGACTGTATCTTCTGTAACAATTTGATCTTGTTTGTAAGCCGGTATGCTTCATGTAACAGACTGTTCTTCGAGAACGAATTGTTATTACTATTGCATTCGGTATTATCAATCATAGCCCAATCTACTCACTTGATGACTTTATTTTAGACCACTTTCGGCTGTGGTGTAAAAAGAATTAGTGTTTGATATTAGGTTTTACTGGACATAACATTGGTTTCACAAAGATGGCCACCACAGGATCTGAAAACTTTCGATAAAAGGAAATTGATAACGGTAATGGAGCATGCTTTAGTACTATGCACATCCAAACCCACACGTTGGGTTCGGACCAAGGATCTTTTATTTTAGAATTATTAATCACCCGTGCGACTGAGGCTACTCCCTAATCTAATATTTTCCCACTGTCAACAAATAGCGATAATGCTGTTTTGTCATCCATGTTTGAGGCTTGTGACATAATATACTGTCAGGTCAGACCTCGTACAAATATTAGGAGAGCAAACATAACAGTCATACAGAAGTTTTCTGCACCGATCAGTAAATACAGCCTTATTGATGAAAGAATCATGGTCCATATTTAAAGATACATTTAGCTTATTTACCTCCCTGTTTATACTATGCTCAGTACCACGCAGTATTAGTAACTGCTCACCATGAATAAGCAAACAGGTCTAGAAACTTCTTAGACGTAGGAAAAAATAGAATAATCTTTTAGCCAGGTAACAAGATGGTCTTAGGAAAGGCCATTCGTGCTTGAAAAATTCCACTGCAAGAAAAGGTTGGGCTGCAGCAACAGTTAGTAATACTTGAGTATATGCAAATGTTATAGATGTAGGTAAATCTTTAACAAGGTTTTCAATCTTGGTCTTAAATTACAACAGGAAAGTTTTGGGTTTCGTTACGAAACTGTAAACTGGATGAGTGACTTTTTCAGTGACAGAAGACAGCGAGCGGCAGTGAACAGGATTCGAAATAAGTGAGAATGTATAAAGAATGGAATTCATCAACATACGATCCCTGCCTTTTTCTTTCGACAGTTTACGTAAGTGACTTCTAGACTGTAGTAAATTCATCTGTTCTTATCAGATCCATACACAGTATGTCAGACAGAATAATATTCCATAACTGGTGAAGAAATGTTTAATGTATCATACTCAACTATTGTGGAGCCGCATTTAGAATATAGGGTTTAAGCAATGAGTACTTTTTTCAAGTATGGAGCGGATATGCCGAACAGATTTCATTGGTGAGGGAACAAAAAATAAATAAAGGTCTCTCCGAACTGTCTTATAAAGAAAGACTGAGGCTCCTCATATATCCGTCATTTTGCCACATGTTACGGAGTGGTCTGATACTGGCTTACCATATGCTGAACGATGATATTGATATTATCATTTAATAACTTCTTCCCATATTTAAGGTTAATAAACTGAAAGGACACACGAAGAAAGTTGAAAGACCAAGATTGAATCATCTACGTCTGGAGCTCTGTTTCTTGTACAATATAATGAATTAACTAAATTCTCTCCCAGAACACGAAATACCAGAGGATCTTGTTTATAGATTCAAAAGCGACTGAATCTTCACCGCACTACAAACACCAAGGATTAATACGGTTTTATTTATCTCATATTCTTACTACTGTGGATTGAAGACTACAGCTAACCTTCAACATCTGGTCACATTTTTGAGTACTTCTCCACCCTTCAAGGTTGGTTCGCTTAGGTGGTGTTTGTAGTTAGTACATTGGTAGGTAGGTTCTATATATTCTAGTACTGAACAAACTCATGCACCATATTACAATCAATCACAAACGAAAGATTTTCCGAGCAGATATTTTGGAGGCCTTAGGTTCTTGGAATCATGATTCCAACATAGATGCATCTATGTAACGTTTCCCAATCTCCCTATTTTGAGGAAAATTGGAATTGACTGTCACTAATTGTAAGATGTGGTGTAAAACAATAGTATCTCATTTACCTGAATTGTTTATAACAATTATGTTATCAGGGAAAATTAGTTCTAATGCCTAGACATTTCGGAGCAAGTTTGTAAATGACTGGTAGTATCATCTGAACGTTACATCCACTGACTCAATGTATCACTTTTTTATATTTACTTATGCTTTTAACTTATAGATATCCATTAGGAAACCGATATTGTGAAGTGATTAGCGTTTAAAGACTACTGCTCCTTGGACATGCATTCACAGTTAGCATCCAAGTGACTCTCAAGTTGTGTTTTAGGTGCTAGGCGTATATAGTGACAACTGTTAATAAATGAACTGACTCATTTAGTCGCATAATTCATGTAGTTTGACAGCTATATTAGTACTAGTATTAGTACTACGAACACCTAATGTTTAATGCGGATAGATGGTCACAGCAGCAAATTATCTTTTGAACACTTGTCGTTTACACAATTTGTCCGTAGTAAAAACATTAAGAGTTAGTTTTGTGCATTTCATTTGTCCATTTCTCCTTAGATGTTAGTTCTCCCACTCCTATATACTTTTCTATCTTATAATACCTCGATGTTTCGTTCCATACTTCATAGAATTAATGATGAGGCGAGTTTAATTAAATATTTTGAGACCACCAGTATTGGAGAGAATTTCGAGTGTGTTCTTTCTCTGTAATTTTTCACTGAACTTTTAAAGACATCGATAATTCACATTATATATATATATTCCAGTGTAATCCAGTTGGTTTATATAATGAAGAAAAGAAGGGTTTGGAAGTTTCAAATGTCATCTTTGAATTCCCAATTAAAGTGAGATTTACTGTTTTTAAATAAATAATGTGCTTCTCAGCCACCATAATCACACTCCCCAGTCTAATAACTTCTTAAGTGACCTAAAAAAAGCAGAATTAGCGCACTTATGGCGTAGCTGTTTTGATAACCATCGAAGCATCTTGCAAAATAATATCCACTGTCGTGTATCAAAAACAACAGTAAGTTGTTATGATTGAATTAAGCATAATATTACAAAATCTTTTCAGAATTGCAAAGCCATTTTGGATAAGTTTATGGATGTTCTTTCAAACCCACAGAATTTGAACTTTGTTAAATGTAATTGCACATATGATCAGAATGAACTGATGATGGATTATGATGTTGTCGAAGTATCTCTCTATGATGTAATCAGGTATAGTCCCGGGCGCCTACAGAATCACAATACACTGTTGTATCTTACTTTTCAAGTAATTTACTACTTAATTGTTACATAAACTTTTACAGGCGATTCATGCCATCACTCAGCTACACAAAATAGATTTACCTCATAGTGGTATGACATTGGATAATATATTTGTAGACGAAAAGTTTAACATCTTTCTTGGTCCCCCAAAAGCAATTGACTTTCTGTCAAACATAATGACAAATGAGTTAATGGAAGAGGAAAATACTGCGGAAATTGATATTGCGATGTGCAATAGTAGTAAGCTGTTCACGATGACAACTAATTGGGTACTTCACAAAGTAAGCAAGTTCATCTTGTCTTGGTGTAATTTAATAAACATTAGTTCCTTATATTTTGCTTGAATTTCTGTTTAAAAGAAACCTATTTTATTGTTCGGCCAACAAAACTGAAGTATCGAGGCAAAGTGTGGACCTATAATCTAGTGGTTAAAATTTGAATCTTTTAACTACTTGAATATTATTCTACCGTCCATAACGCATCTCAAAATTCTAGAATTAATGACTTGAGGAAGTAATAACTACCTCATCAAGTAGTTATATTTTCCAAACTTATTCTACTGACTAGTGAACCGACTTTTTTGGTTATGGTCCTCATCATCTGGAAAACTAAAATTACTTATGAAAATTCGAAATTTCATAATAACTCAACAGTTGTTATAATTAAAACTATAAACTCATTAGGTACGTGTTTCGACATTGAAATGAATTACTATTATGGTTTTTGATATATCTGTAATATCCGTCTCCTATTTATGAGTTTTAGTAGTCACTGTACTATTGTTGTCTAGATTTAAATGAGATTCGTACAACTACCAGGCTTCCAGTCTTTTGGATGGGTTTAACAATTCTCTAAAGCACTTGGGCATGCAGACATCCCGTTCATCCAGCTAGTAAAAACAAATGATATGGTTATTTCTTCACTATCTATAAGGTTGGTCTAGAACAAAAAGTGTAGTCATTATCATAATTAACTTAGTGAAAGTGCTGTATTTACTTATCTTCGAACATTTGTCGTTCATTGTGTGATTTATGGTTGTGTGCTTATTTTGAAATAATAAGATGTAATTCAGTTTTTTTCATGTTTGTCTCCTCTCCAAGGTAACAGTTACTTAATTTTCTAAATTTAGGACTTCCAAGCGTTGGGCTACTAGATCTGGATTCTGTTTCTCTTTTATTTAATCAGTATTCCCTCACACAAAATATGTAGCTTAAAACTGAGTACACAGGTAGGCTCTTAATTATTGTGGTGCACTGTTTTCTACCCACTTCAGTTTTAGTTGGTGGTTAGCATATTTAAATCCCACAACAAGCTTATCTGAAAACCTAGTGCACTATGTTTGGTCAATGATTTTGATTAATTTAATCTTTATTTCAGTATCCTTTGTCACGAAGAAGATATCGAATGGGGAGTCACTAGACTGAAATACAACAAAATACGTATAACTTTTATTGTTTAACAAGATGAAATGTTTGTTGTCTTTATTTCAGGTTACGAACTATGATTACCTGATGTTTCTGAATGAACTGGCTGGTCGACATAAGGGTGATCCATCAAACAGTGCAATTTTACCGTGGATAACAAATTTTGATACACCCTTCGGACAGTTAAGAGACTTGACAAAATCAAAGTATCATTTATGTAAAGGAGAAGATCAGTTGAATGCAAATTTTGCGACATCTCTGTGTAATCATACAATATCTAAGCGTCCTGGTTGGACACTAGGTACTTATAATGTGGAAGGAAATTATGATGTCAGGAGTCATCATCAAGATTTTATGAAGTTGTGTAATGAGTTGGGTAAGACAATGAATGAACTTACCGATCGTTATTCCTTCTGCTTCTAGGTACTTGTAGTATAAGTAATGTAGATAGCAACTTGGTGTGCAGTATTGTAGATGAATATATATCTAACGGTAAATTGTTTTTATTTAAACAAAACTTGAATATAGATAATGGGAAAAAGAATATGAATTACACCTTTTCTCCCCACCATTTGTTGGATATAATGCCTGATCTAGCATACTATACATACATGGTAAGTAACTACTATTACTAGTCTGATTCTAAAGCTATTAAAATTTCTGATTCAATCTGATGCAATTATTCGAGTAACTATTTATGCCTTTTATTTTTAAAGAATCAACTTCAAAATTATTAAGTTAAAATGAACAAATCATATTCTGTTATCCTTGACCGGTGTTAAGGTATGGTTTTTGAATTATCCTAAAACCACTCTGACCCTATAGTTTATGCATTTCGAATTTTGGCAGTCAGTGCTGACAAGTATTTGCTCGTATTTCTGACACAGTTTAGTTAATTGACATAAAAGTTTTTCGTTAGAACGTGGGTCCCAAAACCCCTACACATCATTTTATTTTTCCATACTGATACCGTTACTGCTTCTACTACTCTAGAATTTGCCTTGGAATTATTTTATCTTTGTACCACTGTGATCTGGCAACTTGGATCGATGCACATGTATCAGGTATACATTGCGTATAACTGACTGATGTATAGTGTGGTGACTATATCTCAGTAAATTTCTGAAAAAATTATTTTCTTTTATTACAAAACTTTAGTCTATGCTTTTGAAAAATAATCCATTTGACGTTTAAGTATTAGGTTTATGATACTCCGTAATATCACTATGGTTCATTTCCTTTCGTAAAATACAAAAAAAACTAGGCTTCGTATGTCTTATTTCTTATCCTTATTTGATATCAATGGCATGGCAAGAAACCAATGGACCTCTTAAATGTTTAAGTTTAAACCACCAAAATGCTTTACTTGATGGAGTGATGACAGTATAAAAGTGATTGACACATTTATTTCACTATTACGTAATATTTCACACAGTCATGGCAAAGCCAATATCCTACTGTTGTCTATTTTCCCATGAAGATTTAGCAGGGGAGAGAATGTAATCAATTTACTAGGATTTTAAATGCAGTCATTTTGCAACTCATAGTGTATATCCGAACTGAAACATTTAAAAGTGTATTTTTATGCGCTATATTGTATGGAGTTAAAATCAACGAAATAGTTTCACTTCTTTAACAGATGGTATACTTATTAGTTTCACTATTCTCATGTTCATGTCAGTTAAAGATAACGTCATTCCTTAGATAAAAAAAGAAACAATTCTATCATATTGTTAAAACCTTACAAGTATATTTAGTCAGTTTTAAGTCGCAATCCTTGTATATTACTATTAATATGATATTTTCTGAAAATAATAACTACAAAAGTCAAACCAGTTTACAGGAATAATCAGCCTGATATAGATAGTAATATTAAATGTAGAGAGCGGATATGTGATGTAAGACTTTTAAGTTTTATAGTGCGAAAATTGTTCAAGTTATACACTCTTCACATTTATCACAGAAATGAGAGGCACCAGCCGAGAACTTTTGATTTGTTTTAAGTTGGCATCCCGTTGATATATGAGCAATGCATTTAAGGTCATTTCCTGCACCATAACGAACTAATTATAACCATCTGTAACTAGAGAAAATAAAACGGAAGCCGAGAGCACGGAATAAAGGCGATAATTACTACGATAAGCTAGTTTTGTCTACCATAATACATATGTCATGATATTTTATCATCTATTCTTGTTGAATATTATTCAAATTATTCAAGGTTGCCAAGGACGGTCTAACTATAAAGTGACAGCAGGTAAGTAGGTTTACTTAGTGGATTCGGTAATAAAAATGACTAAACATTTAAAGTTCTTATAACCTCATTTTTGGAATAAGATACACAGATGTAACAACACTTAATGCACTTTCAGAGAAGGAGTAAAGTATGAGCGGCAGTTACGCTCTCTGACTGCTTAAAATGCAGTAAGCGAGGTGATATTTAAACGTGTGAACAAATAGTTCAACGTCGAATGCTTCTACAACCGTACTACCGTTTTCAAGTGATTTTTTGGAATTATTTATAAAATATAGACTTGAGCTAACGATTCCGCTGCCAATGATTTGATAATTTTTTTACTGTACCAGTAGAGATCCCTTTTATTATTTATTTTATGTAATGGATAATGTGATATTTTGCCAATGACTGGTTTTATAACACTTATCCTACGACCTTGAACATTTTGATTTACTTTTTGTTTTCAATGTGTAATAGGCTAGAAAAACTCCATTGTCGTTGTTGACACAGTTTGTGCGTCCTGTTTATCAACCTCAAGAATTCCCAACGACTATTGCACGATTATATGAATCTACTCCAGACGAATGCATCCCGGAGTTTTTCACAGATCCGTCAGTCTTCTCTTCTATTCACCCAGATATGGCTGACCTTGGCCTGCCGTCTTGGTGTTCTTCTCCTGAAGAGTTTATTAAATATCACTCTAAACTTCTGGAAAGTGATGAAGTATCCAGTAATTTGCACCACTGGATCGATCTAAATTTTGGATACAAAGTAAGCGATTGAAATTTTGTAGCAATTACCACCACTCGAAGCAAAGCATATTATGCATTGACATAGTGTTTATATACTTGGTTTTATCCTAGATAGTTTCACAAAATTTCTATTGAATAATAGTTTTCAAGCGATATTCTTAGGTGTGTTACTTCACTAATTTTTTCATATAAGTTTAACTTGATAAGAAACAATGATAAGTTGATAAATATATATTTTATAGAGTTGAGATCATGAGTCAATTGAAGCTAGACTACCATGGAAAACCTGGAAGCACTGGACGGCCGTTAGACATTAACACCGTTGGATGCCAGCTCAGTGGTCTATCGGTTAAGGGCTTCGGCTCGAAACTGGTAGGTCCTGGGTTCGAATCCCGCGAGAGTGGGTTCGTGGACGCGCACTGCTGAGGAGTCCCATAATAGGACGAAACGGCCGTCCAGTGCTTCCAGGTTTTCCATGGTAGTCTAGCTTCAATTGACTCATGATCTCAACTCTATAAAAATACTAAAATCTCCACAAAACCCCTTCTGAAAATATATATTTTATTGACAAGTTCTGCAACACATAAACCAATTCTGTCGTTACTGTAAATTTTCACCTTTGATTATGAATAAACGAATTCTTTCTCCTCCCTAAATAGAATAGATTTCAATTACTTTTTTATGGTTGTAGTTACTTGGCTCAGCTGCGGTGAGCGCTAAAAATGTCCATCTAGAATTAGCAGGTGATCAAACTGCTTTACGTCGTACTGGTGTCGTATGTTTATTTAGTACACCACATCCTCAAAGAATTTGTAGTAAAAAATTATCAAAATATTTTGGTGCAACACTACCAGATATATTCCAAATGGATGTAAATCCCCCAACTTCTAAACACAACTCAGTCAGTACGGAAATGCACGCAAATAACTCTCCAAATGAAGTTTCCTTGAAAAAAACCCATCCTACTCTAACGAAGTCCATTTCTAGTTCTAAGGTATGATGTCTGTCATTGGTTTTATTTTTATGCACTTTGATATTTTTTATGTTTGAGGTAATTCGTAAAATAATAATTCAGTATTATAGAATTGCTAGTAAGCTCAATATCTTATGATCAGTTATGTATGTTGAGAATTTTGCATAATAGATAATTCAACTTGAATTTTCCATACTTCTCCTTGAATGATTACTTGGAAAACTTATCATTTTTCATTGCGTTTTTATTGTACACATAACAGTTCTTTCATTTTACATACTTATGTAAACACACACTGAACCCAATATTTAGTTTAGAAGATTTCTTTAACTTGTGTTTTCCAAGAATCCTCAGAATTTAAATCATAGGGAAAGTAAATTAGTTTTCCGTTCATTTAAATTTAGGTTTTGTCGTTTTTTCCACACAAAATTTCCTCCATTTACGACCTTCAGTTTTTTAAATAATTGAAACCAATCAGTAGAAGTGTTATTTCGTAATATGTATAGGAAAGTAATAACTATTGCAGTGGAAACTTCTTAATGTTTTTTGTTCCCAACGAATTCTCGATCACTATTGTTCCTGGTAACTCCAAGCACTTACTAGAATCTTCAGATGGAAGATACAAAGTTTTCTGAATGTAAGAGCTTCTACCTTATGTAAACCAAAATTTTATTTGAGTAATACAAACTTTAAAAATACGTATTGTGAATCACAAGTTGGATGTTCTAGTTTTTACGAAAATTTTGTTTATGTGAACATCAAGCACATAAAAACGATTATAATTGATTCATTTTCGTTTACTGAAATCCATTAATTCGATACAAACTTGAGCCATATTTTATGGGTGTATGTATGTATGTGAGATGGTGGATGAACTAGTAATAATTCACTTTGTCCGCAACGATATAATTGAAGTATTATTCAAACCTGAAGCTTAGTAATTGAGAATAGAGTACGTAAGTCGCTGAACCATCACTCCAGTTATATTCACTTAACTTATTTAAAACAAATGAATATGTTAAAAAGCTCTCAAGACTATATTCATAATTTTATAATGTATATTTTTCTCCCAAAGGTTAATCACACTCCAAAACTGCCAACAGGCGATAGAGATTCATGTTTAAAGTAAGTTGTTCACTCTTTTGTACACTATTCATCGAATATTTAATTATCAGTGTAAAATATTTACTCAAATGAGTTATAGGCACCTTATTTTCTATTCTGTTTTTAATTATTGAATGCTAAGTGGATGATATTGCATTGCCTCGAATCATGGTATTTGACTATATGTTCAACTAGTTTTACAAACAATTCTCAAAGTTGTACACTGAGGTCCCTTAGTTGATTAGAGAAGTTATGTTACTCTGAAATTTATTTGATTTAACTAGTTAAAATCAATCATGTTTATCCAATTTATTTTATATATTGTTTGTATTCTTTTCTCTTTGAATTCTTTTGTGCATATGATATATTCCAACATTAGTTATTAACTTATGTGTTGTTTATTTTCATCCACTGTTCATATTGTAGCTTGTCACTGAGTTGTTATATAGATTAATACCAGATAAGTATATAATATTTATTTTGCTCTCGACATAATAATGTACGAAAGTCGTATCAGTCAGTCACAAATGAAGTTCCGCCTCTTACAAGTATATTTGGATCCAAGTTGTTACACCTTACTCCACTATAGTAAGGTAAAATTAACGGGGTAGAAATCTAAGCAGTTGAGATGATAATATCGATGCTAGTGAAAAACTAAATATAAGAAGTATAGTTCGGAATTCGTCAGAAGATGATAAACCTAGAATTATATTGGAAGTCAACTTTCAGAGGAACATTTCGAATGAGTACGTTCACTCCACTGCAACTAATGTCGAGCTATATGACTTAAAATTCGCAACTGTACACTCTGACAATTCAGTGGGCCCGAACTCCAAATGCAGTCACTTATTGAATGGTTGGTATGTTTACTTGTGTTATCAGATGACGTTTTTCCTTTTGGCTAGCTTAGAGCCATGGGTAAAGTAGTGGTTAGGGATGTGTAAGACATGCCCCAACTACTTCAGTGATTAGAAATTGTCTTTGTCTACTTTACCATCTTTACAAAGTTCGCTACGCTTAATAACAATATTATTTATTATATTCTTCATATTTAGGCTCGATGACCAAAATATTTACGACCTACACATATTCTCTATCACTAAAACTCATATTTTGTGGCCTGAAATAATATTGAGCGAATTATTATGCAGTATACTCGCACTTGGAATAGGCATACGGAAATTTTACATGCACTAGACTCCCGATCAATTAAACCAGCTTTTCGTGTCTGCTCCAAGAATTCTCTAACCACTTAGTTACCATGGCTAGTCCAACTACTATATGGTTGAAGTGGTTATTGGGCCAATTGCTTTATTTTTTGTGGTCAGTTTAGTCATTCATATAGACTATTCGTGAAGTAACACTTCACTTTTGAGCTTTCTTACATTGCTGCTCAATGCTGTGAAAATAATTTTCAGTTCATAATATATTACCAGCAGAATTAGATTATGATTTTTTTTAGAAAGATAATAGTGTGATGTAACTTTGAAAAAAACCCCTAAATGCTTTGTCACGGCCGAGGGCGGGGAGAGTCAGCTCTCCCTCTTCAAATGCTGTCACATGGCCACGTGCATACAACCATTGCCAGAGACGTCCTACTCACTGCCTTCTACTGGCGGGGATGTTGTTTACGAAATTGAGAGGATAAAATGCGAATGTCCGGCGCTTTAACCGGGTTGGTGGACACGGAGGATCCACCTAGAGGAGTTGGAAAACCCCGATTCCAAACAAATGGTGCACATGGGCTTCAGGATCCTTTTCGAACATGAGTATAAAGATGATATTGTCTTACTGTGCGATAATGCCCAAACCATGCAGTCTACACCTAATCAGTTGGAAATTAGTGTCCGTAGATATGGTACGTGCTTTGCACCTTCGAAGTGCAAAGTGATTTTACAAGACTGGCAGGATTCTAATCATGCACTCACCCTGTGTAGTGAGCAGATAGAAGTAGTCGAGAAGTTCGTGTATCTAGGTAGCTATATAAGTGCTGATGGTGGCGTGAATGACGAGATCGATTTACGTATAATGAAAGCCAGAGCGGCTTATGCCAATCTGGGCCATCTTTGGCGCCTTCGTGATGTTAGTCTGGCGGTAAAAGGTCGCATTTACAACGCGTCGAAAAGAACAGTTTTGCTCTATGCTTGTGAAACCTGACCTCTCCGAGTTAAGGATGTTAGACGTCTCTCTGTGTTCGATCATCGTTGTCTCCGAAGGATTGCTGACATCCAGTGACAACACCATGTTAGTAATGCAGGGGTTCGGCATCGTTTGTTCGCGCGCAGAGACGACAATTCATTTGGTGCCACCATCTTGGAACATCGAATTTGGTGGCTTGGAAATGTTCTACGTATGTCGTCCCAGAGGATTCCTCGTCATGCATTATTTGCCGACACTAGGATTTGTTGGAAAAAGCAGAGAGGTGGTCAGTGTATGACATGGTGTCGTGGTATGAAAGAAAGCTGTGCAGGACTGGCTTTTGTTGGTCCTTCACGACTTTCTGGTTGGAGTCCCAGAGATGGCGCAACACAGTGGCTAGAGACGTTATCAGATATTGCTCAGAATAGAAGCCAGTGGCCATCCTGCTGTAACTTTATTTTACTTCATAAAAGATTAACGTAACTTTTTTAATTGAAAGAAGTGTTTCTGGTTATATTTCTGCTAACTGAACTGTTTCTCCCATTACTATATATTACACTTTCATACACTAATTTCTGTTCATTATTGTTCCCCTTTTTCGTATATGCACTTTACATTCTCTATCTCTTCACATTCTTATTGTTATTGTGTAGCGTATATGTATCTGATGCCTCTTTGTACCAATATTTATGTGTTCAAATAAATAAATAAATAGTTTCAAAGAAAAAGCTGGCATTTAATCGCTGTTTTCTGGTTTATATCTTTTTTTAGAAATAAAATATGGCTTCCTGATGATTATGATCCGTTAGAATTGATTAATATGCATCAAAATCTGTGCAAATTTCTACACATTGAAACACATATACAAGATTTAAATGATCCAGAATCTGTGAGTTAAAATAGCTCATTAGTAGTAGTTTCAGCTTTATTTATTTTTCTTTTGTTGTTTGAAATGAATAATTGATTTGCATAAAATAACATCCCTAGTGAATTCACAGTAAATAAATAATGCTGTTTTTTTCGACTTAACATTCAACTTGTTTAGTTCGCATAGATTATAATTTGGTAATATTGCGATTGATTTATAGATAAACTGTTTTTATATATTTAAAAACATAAACATTGGTACATAGTGACCGAAATATATATGCACCACACAAGTAATTGAATTCGTGTATGGGCTTGGGTACTACCCGGGTGCCCGAACCGAAGCAGGTGGATTTCTCAGAGGCCCTCTCATTTTTCTAAGGAGCAGAGAAATACTATCAATCTAGTTCACACGCTGGTTGTGCAGTTCACTTGAAAGATGTTATTTCTTTTTAGTGGATTATGACAAGTAAATTCAGAACTCGAAATCGCCTGTAATTCACAATCTGATTTACCTGTGTTTGTCAAAAGTTCATCTTCATGTTCCTCTGTTAGTTTTTCTATAAGCGTATTCATTGCATTTTCATAAATTGTTTCTTTTTCATCTAAACATTTTCCACGTTTACCATAGGCTGTTGTGCAGACAGAAAAAGGGTTACCTAATTGCAAAAAAATACTTCTTCATAATAGGTATTTTATATAGGCCTGGTTAATTTAACAGGAATTCGATTAAATTAATTGGATTAAATTCATTCAGTATTGTTTGTTTGAATCTTCCCATCGATTTGTTAGGACTGCAACTGGTCAGTCTCTAATTGGCATATGTGCATACTGTGCGTATTGTCTCGATATAGCCTTAATTCACAAGCATGGTAAGCAGAGATGGACTCAGTGGCCGAGTGGATAACGCGATGGCGTTTGAAGCGAGGGTACTGGGTTCGAGTCCCAGAGTGAACATCAACTCTCAGATGCAAGTACATCCAGCTGACGAGTCCCAAATAGGACGAAACGCGCGTCCTGGATTCCACTGCTAGCCACTATCCATCTCTGCTTACCAATTAATTGGATTGTTAGAAATAGTTTCAACATAAAATAATTATTTAATTCCATTTGTGATATAATGTAATACGCGTGCTCAAAATACGTGATGGACTCACTTAAATCTTCACTTTGAGAAAATTGTCTCTAAAATTACCCATAAATGAACATTCCGAGTTAATTTTGGTCTTAGTTTTGTTGGAAGCAAAATTTTCCAAAACTTAAATTGTTTGTTTAGTTTAACAAGTTAAATCCATGTACAAAGCCAGTTAGGAAATTGGTAGGTTCAGTTTTACTAAGGGAAAGTCTAAATCAAAGAATATTAGATGTTGAGTTATTTTAAGTAGTAAACTTGGAAAACCCGCATTTTATCACATCAACACGACTGTAAAAATTAACTGTTGAAGGAACCTAGAAGTCATAAAAACAAGACACTAAATTATCATGATTCATTTCATCCAAATGTAAAATTCAAATATAAGCATTACTTATTAAAATAAGAGTACATTTCTGCGACTTCAGTATCATGCAAAAATTGAATATGACTTAATCTTATGATGTAATATACTGTTAGGCGTGTTTTTTGAATTAAATAGTTTTTAATCGTTTAAAAATCCCAATCATATTAAAAGACTAATATTTGAACGAAGAATATTCTTTTCGATAAATTCTCTTCAGGTTTTACAATTATATATCCAAATTAATAATCCGAAAAAATGGTCAGGTTAAAGGCAAAGAACATCGTTTAATGCATGTAAATTTAGGAATATCAAATCAAATAGAATTATTTATTTATTTATTTATTTATTTAAACACATATATATTGGTACAAAAGGGCACCAGGTACATATGCGCCACACAAAATAATGAAAGTAGGAAGAGAAGGGATGAAAAGATAAGGCGGACTAAAATGTACAACCAGAAGACTCTTTCAAATAGGAAAGTAAGAACCATACTTTATGTAGAAAGTAAAAGAAGGTTGCAGCAGGATCGCCACTGGTTTCTATTCTGAGCCATATCTGATAACGTCTCTAGCCACTGTGTTGCACCATCTCTCGGACCCCAACTAAGGAGTCGTGAAGGACCAACAGAAGCTAGCCCTTTGCAGCTCTCTTTCATGCCACGACACCATGTCATACACTGACCTCCTCTCCGCTTTTTCCAACCAGTCCCAGGGTCGGCAAATAATGCACGACGTGGAAGTCTCTGGGACGACATTCGTAAAACATGTCCAAGCCACCGAAGTCGGTGTTTCAAGATGGTGACACCAATTGAATTATCGTCTCTGTGCCCGAACACACGATGCCGAACCTCTGCATTACTAACATGGTGTTGCCACTGGATGTCAGCAATCCTTCGGAGACAACGATGATCGAACACAGAGAGACGTCTAACATCCTCAACTCGGAGAGGCCAGGTTTCACAAGCATAGAGCAAAACTGCTCTCACCGACGCGTTGTAAATCCGACTTTTTACAGCCAGACTAACATCACGAAGGCGCCAAAGATGGCCCAGATTGGCATAAGCCGCTCTGGCTTTCCTTATACGTGCATCAATCTCATCACTCACGCCACCACCAGCACTTATATAGCTACCTAGATACACGAACTTCTCAACTACTTCGATCTGCTCACCATCCAGGGTGAGTACAGGATGAGAATCCTGCCAGTCTTGTAGAAGTACTTTGCACTTGGAGGGTGCAAAGCACATGCCGTACCTGCGGACACTGATTGCCAACTGATTAAGTGCTGATTGCATGCCTTGGGCATTATCGCACAGTAAGACAATATCATCCGCATACTCAAGGTCGAGAAGTCGTTCTCCAGGCAACATATCCACACCGCCATTACTTACATCCATCAGAGCTGTTTCCAGGATGTCGTCGATAGCAAAGTTGAAGAGGAATGGTGAGATCGGGCAACCCTGCCTCACCCCACTGTTCGAATGGAACAAGGGAGAAAGGTGGTTGTATGCCCTCACTCTGCCTGAGGTGTTCGTGTACAGGGCCTTTAAGATGTTAATGAACTTCTCAGGCACACCCTTCTTCAATAGACAATCCCAGAGAACAGTCCTGTCCAACGAATCGAAGGCAGCCCTGATATCAAGAAACACTACGATTGTTGGCCTGCGATAAGTATGACGGTGTTCTAACATTTGGCGGAGGGTGAAGATGTGATCAATGCATCCTCGACCAGAACGAAAACCAGCCTGCTCCTCGCGAGTCAATCGTTCTCGGGTTTTAAACAACCTACGAAGAATGATAGAAGCCAATAGTTTGGACGCAATCGAAAGTAGACTTATCCCCCGGTAGTTATTGCAGGAACAACGTGAACCCTTTTTAAAGATAGGGACGACTATTGACTCATTCCATGATGTTGGAACACTTTCTTGCTCCCAAACCTTTCCAAACAACACAGTCAATTCCTTAGTCAGAAGGTCACCACCATCTTTAAAAAGAGCCGGAGGTAAATCATCTGGGCCAGGTGATTTGTAGCGCTTCAAGAGTTGGAGTTCCTTGCGGACTTCCGCCTCGTTTGGTGGATCAGTCGTCACCGGCCATGGGGGGGGCAGGACAAGCTGGTTGATGTTGCCGGAGCAGCAGGCCAGTTGAACTGCCCTTCGAAAAATTCCGCCCATCGTCCAAGACGTCGGGAGATGTTAGTGATTGGCATCCCATCATCCTCGTAGATTGTTTCACTCACACCAGACTTCTTGCTGCCAGTGGCTCGGATGAGTTGGAAGAGCTTCCGGCAGTTACCAGATGCAGCTGCTGCTTCCATCTCATTAGCACGTTCCGACCACCAGGCTTCCCGGTCCTTACGCAAGCTTTGCCCAATTTCATTACGTAACAGCCTTCGTTTGTGGTCAAACTCACGGTCACCCGGAGTAGACCGACGGGCTTCCATCAGTTGTAAGGAGCCAGAAGAAACCCAGTGCTTGTAAGCGGGACGTTTCGCGAAGCCGCAAGCGGCTTTACTCGCCATTTTCATGGCGTCGTGAAGATGCAACCAATGCTCATCTATACTTTTCGGTGGGGTGTTAGCTAGCCTAGAGGCTAGCTCCGCTTGGTACTTACTTGCAACAGGAGTTGCAGCCAGTTTACTAATATCAATCCGTTGGTGGTGGTCAATCCTTCGGCCACTGAAAAGTAAGGTGAGATTGGCGCAGACCAGGGCATGATCAGACTCCAGATAGGTACTCCAAAAGGAGCGGCCGTCTTGTACACAACCACGCCAGCGGTAGCTGATCGCGATGTGATCAATCTGAGTCCAGGCTTGGGATGCAGAGGGAGGACGCCAGGTGGCACACCGGCGATGACTGTGCCGGAAGTTAGTGCTGGCCAGAAACAGGTTGTGGTCTGTGCACAGTTGCAGCAAACGGTCCCCGTTATCTGTCCTGCGACCAACAAGTCCCCATCGGCCACCTAGACGACTCTCTTCTGTGCCTAGACGCCCGACCTGTGCATTCAAGTCTCCGGCTAGTACTACAATATCTGTCGAACGCGCTTTCTGTAGAAGAACTGTTAACTGATGGTAAAACTCATCCTTGATTGCATCCGGGCTGCAATCTGTCGGGGCATAGGCGGAGATGACGAAAAGACACCGTTTCTCACGCCGGTTTCTTCTCAATTTGATGGAACTTTCTAATCTAACAGCACATAACCGACTGTTAATGGGGAACCAATCGATTAGCGCTGCCTCAGCTCTAGCGCTTAGTGCGACACCAACGCCAGCAAGACCAGACGAAGATGCCACAGGGTCCCCGGATAAGCGCACGTGGAACAAGCTTTTCGAGACAGATGGAGAGCGGATTTGTAGTACTTCACTAGAGTCTTGAATACGGGTCTCGGATAGACAGCAAACATCAACATTAAGACCTTCCAAAGACATAGCCAGCCCTATCTGTTGTCTGATCTGCATTAGTGTGCGAACGTTGAAGGAAGCCAGCTTGAACGGCGTACGTGGTTTCAGAAAGACTGCCTCAGTATTCATTATCGGTGGAAGCATTCACTTTCAACCAGACAGTGACTGGAGATCGTTTAGATAGGACAGATTTTCCACCAAGAGCGAGCTGCTGCATAAGTTGAAGAGTAAGGTTACACAAATTGGGGGTAAAAGGGGGTGAATTAGCGATATGGTAAGTAATAATAATAATAATAATAATAATAATAATAGTAATAGTAATAATAATAATAATAATGATAATAATAACGTAAATTGTCTTGCTTATAATATGAGCAGGAATAGAATCGTCAATAGAGTTCGTCATTTCATTCATTTGTGTGTGGGCTGTGATACTGCCCGGGTGCCCAAACCGAAGCAGGTGGTTTTCTTAGGGGGCCACACCCGGAGCCTTTGACCTAAAGGTCTGATCCACAAGGCAGTGGAGCATCGTGAGGAGATGCAGTCCCATGGTAGTCGTTGACCAATGACAGGTTCTTCCGCCATTCGGTCCATCAGGAAACTGGAGCCCATGTGCACCATTGGTTTGGAATCAGGGTTTTCCAACTCCCCTAGGTGGACCCTCCGTGTCCACCAATCCGGTTATAGCGCCGGACATTCGCTTTTCGTCCTCTCAATTTCGTAAACAACAGTAATGCCACGAGAAGGCAGTGAGTAGGACTTCCCTGTCAGAGGCTATATATTCGCTGGCCATATGAGAGCATTTCGAGAGGGAGAGTAGACTCTCCCCACTCTCGGCCGTACCAGGGCATTTGGGGGCAAAAAAAAATCAAATAGAATAAAATTGTGTATTGTTGATATGGCTCATAAAGAATGTTAACACTTGAATCTGTATATATGGTAAGTGAAAATTTAAGATCTGTGATCAGAATAAATATGGGTCAGATAGGGTGAGTGAGATATGATAGTGCAATTACAATTCGATCAAGTGGAAGATTAAATTGTTTGAAAAATTAGTGAGACGTAATAAGTAGGGATCAATGCAATGTGAATGAATCATGTATAGGGGGGATTAATAATGATATTTAACCAATAATAATAATAATAATAATAATAATAATAATTATTATTATTATTATTATTATTATTATTATTATTATCAGAAGGGGTTTTGTGGAGATTTAGTATTTTTTATAGTAGAAAGCATGAGTCAATTGAAGCTAGACCACCATGGAAAACCTGGAAACACTGGACGGCCGTTTCGTCCTATTATGGGACTCCTCAGCAGTGCGCATCCACGAACCCGCTCTCATGAGATTCGAACCCAGGACCTACCAGTCTCGAGCCGAAGCCCTTAACCGATAGACCACTGAGCTGGCATCCAACGGTGTTAATGTCTAACTTCAACTGATCCACGAAGTTGAGCAACCATTCACCAATTGTCTTCAGTGAGTTCCTATCTCACAGTGGAGTTCAAAACCACGTCTGTTGTGAGATAGGAACTCACTGAAGACAATTGGTGAATGGTTGCTCAACTTCGTGGATCAGTTGAAGTTAGACATTAACACCGTTGGATGCCAGCTCAGTGGTCTATCGGTTAAGGGCTTCGGCTCGAGACTGGTAGGTCCTGGGTTCGAATCTCACGAGAGCGGGTTCGTGGATGCGCACTGCTGAGGAGTCCCATAATAGGACGAAACGGCCGTCCAGTGTTTCCAGGTTTTCCATGGTGGTCTAGCTTCAATTGACTCATGCTTTCTACTATGAATAATAATAATAATAATATTAAAATACAAAGATTTGTGAATAAAGATAAGAGAGGCATTTACATTTGACTACGAAAGGTCGTAAGTACATAGTCAAATTATGTCATACAATAACTAAGATGATTGTCCATTAATTGGCCTTGTGGTTGGCCAAGGGAGGAGTAGGGATTGGAGATATTTCTTCTGTACACATAGCTCAGGTTTCTTCATTCTGATGGCTACTGCCTCCGCCGTTTGAAGGACTTTAAGCCTGACAAGCTTAGGCAAAAAGTTACTGACCCTATAAATAATTGAAAAAGATTGGTTTATACTGGCACTGTGACCAGTTTGTACTAAATGGGCCAAAATCGAGCTGTTTACTTTCCTCATCAGACCTTTGCTTAGCCACGCTGGGAGGTGTTCACGAGCACGAAAATGTAAATTCCTAGAACTTCGACCAATATAACTTGCTGCACAGGAGCAGTCGAACCGGTAAATACAAAATAAAGTGGTCATTCTAGGAACTTCATCTTTAAGCCTCGGTGTCACCATTGAGCGCGTAGAAAACACAAAACGTAGTTCACCTGCATTGAAAGATTTTTGGATTGATCTGCGTAATCTCTGAGCAAGTATTTCGCTAGCGGCATCCCCCCTGAATTGTAGGCTCATGAACAAGGACTTTTTCTTGACCGTTTGGAATTCGCCTATTTTCACTTTAAAGATCATATATTTAATTATAAACTTTCTGGGATACTCGTTCTCCTTCAGAGCATTATGCAATGTGTTTAGCTCGTTGTCAACTACATCCGCCGAACATATAGTGCGTATTCGATAGCTAAGGGTTTTGATCAGGTTTCGTCTGTACTGTAGAGGTACAAAGCTAAGGAAGTGTGTATACTGTCCAGTCCAAGTACTTTTTCGGTTCATGTTTCTTCCTAACGACCCATCCGATCTCTTAGTAAAGAGGACGTCCAAAAAGGCTATTCGGCCATCACTCTCTTCCTCCGATGTAAACTGGATGGCTGGATGCACTTCGTTAAACTGCCTAAGCACATCTTGTTGTGAAATATTATCTTTACACAGGATGAATGTGTCATCCATATATCTGCAGTAAAATTTGAATTCTTGAATTTTATTCTATTTGATTTGACATTCCTAAATTTACATGCTTTAAACGATGTACTTTGCCTTTAACTTGGCCATTTTTTCGGATTATTAATTTGGATATATAATTGTAGAACCTGAAGAGAATTTGTCGAAAAGAATATTCTTCGTTCAAATATTAGTCTTTTAAATAGTTTTTGCCACTCAATAGCTTCTGTTTCGTCTGTGTACCAAAAAGTTTAGTCAAGATTAATTCTTCGAAGGACAGTTAGATTGTGCCTTGAAAAGTGAACATAAAATAGTGAGTTAGATAGTATACGAAAAAATCTTCAGTGAATAACAACTATTCTATGAGGCTTTAGTAACAAGTGTATGTTTCTTTAGTTAACATAAAGAAAATTCGATCGAAACTATTGTTTCGTAGGTTTCGATCAAATCCTCATAAAGGAAAGGTAATTTCTGCATCGAAGAATAATTGGCTATAAGCTAACTAACTTACCCTGATGCTTGACTCAGTCATTGTGTGAGACGTAGAAAACATGCTTAAAAATATGAGCACAACAAAATGCTATTTTTTAGTTAACTCCGACTTTATTAATGTATTAGTCTTCAACTCACATTTGCACGTAATTTTAAAGTACAAAAAGTGTCTTTTCTCAGGTACATTTCGTAAATTTACCAAAGAATTCAAAACTAAATGGCTGAATACTATGCCATTGAGTGATTATACTCTAGATACGAGTTATTCAATAATGAAATCTCATTAGTTTTTCATTCTTCTGATAAAATAAAAATTCGGTTGTATTACTACTGTATGATTGTGTAGTCAATGAATGTTAGTCTGACTGTTGCTAAAAGGTCCAAACTTTCGTGTTGGGGTCCTAAAGACTATCGCTATTTATGGTTACAGTTTTCGCGTTACATAGATCAGTATTAATTTCAGTGGGACAGATCTAATCATTCTTTATGACCAAATAAATTGAATGTTTCAGTATTACTACTCCATATTATTCGTACTGTTTGATTTAGTCCGGTTTTTTCAAACTATCTTGTATTTGATTTTTCACCACCATTGATGTTATTATTTTGATCGCTTTGTTTTTTACCCTACCATCTTTATTTAAAGTGTGACAAGTTAACCCTATGCCCAGTTTGTGCACAATCATACATTATTTATAACAAACGTCAAAACATCATATCAGAACGTTTTATTTATGCTTATTCATAAATATGATTTTTGTAAGTAATCAAATTTGTCTGTTTACGATGGAATAATGTATCCGTATAGTTGCATTTGTATTCACCAATATTTTCATAATCTGTTGTAAATTTTTCAGATTCAATTATCAAAGCTGAATACTTATGATAATGATTTTGACAATTTATTCAAAATTGATCTCGAATCATTGGCTTGTCTTATTGTTGAATTAAGTTTATTTTCAATAGTCAATTATGTTGAAGTTAATAAATGGAGTCATGGGGAACGTGTTAATTTTGCACGTTTGCAAGCACGTTTACATTGGGATAAAATACCAAAGTAATTCATTATTTTGTTAAACTATTCTTTTTGCGTTCGTTTAAGAAATGTTTTGATTGAGTTTGCTACTTCTCTAGTATTAATGTGGTTTGATTGTTTTTAGGTTTCAAGTTTAAAATTTAAATTAATTACTTATTAAATAACGTTGATCCTCAGCTAAAAGATATGTTTTATTGACTGTGTCTTTGTTAATATGTGGTTCCTGGATTCACATATAAGTAAAAAAATCTATTTAATACTCCATATTCGCTCTTGCATTTAATTAGTTCAGCATTATTTCCAACCCTCTTGCTATAAGTGCACATGAAAACCTAATGAGAAAACGTATTTCTTCACTGGATCTTATTACCACTTCAATCTTCATTCTTTTTGGGATATATATTTATTTGATTTGATACCTTTTTGTAAGTGAATGAATAAATACTTATATCTATGTAACTTACTTTCAATAACCAATATCTCTGTATAGAGTAAAACGTATTGTGATTAAGTGAATAGTTATAGATAGTATTTAAGATGTATAAACTTTCATTTAATAACAAATTATACTTATTACTAGAATAACTTTATAAATACTTAAGTAAAAGACTTTTTTTACTGAATTGCCCCCGAGCGCCCTGGTATGGCGGAGAGTGGGGAGAGCCCTCTCTCCCTCTCGAAATGCTCTCACACGGCCACGTGCATACAACCATTGCCAGGGAAGTCCTACCCACTATCTTCTCGTGGCATTACTGTTGTTTACGAAATTGAGAGGACGAAAAGCGAATGTCCGGCGCTTTAACCGGGTTGGTGAACACGGAAAGTTCACCTAGAGGAGTTGGAAAACCCTGATTCCAAACCAATGGTGCACATGGGCTACAGTATCCTGAGGGAACAAATGGCGTATGAATCAATCGTTGGTGACCGGCTATCATGGGACTGCATCTTCTCACGGTGCTCCACTGCCTTGTGGATTAGACCTTTAGGTCAAAGGCTCCGGGTGTGGCCCCTTAAGAAAACCATCTGCTTCGGTTTGGGCACCCGGTCAGTATCACAACCCTCTCACAAATCAAATGAGATTTGTGCGGCGAATATATATCTGTTGCCCCCTTGTACCAATATTTATGTGTTTAAATAAAAATAAAAATAAAATATTAAATATATTATTCCTATTTAATGTCTTACATCAACTCGGCGCTCAGATACTGTGAAACTATTAGCTCTAATTTAGACAAGAGTTCTTATATAAAAATAATAAAACTTTACTGAATTTGTTTCCCTTAGTGCATAACATTATCTCAGATTATCATCTAATGTTTTTTTTAATTTATTCCTATAGTTGTCTTCATGATGCCATTAATTCTGTTTTATATCCATTTGATCAAAATCTTATTGGAAAACAATTTCATGAACGTTTTCTTCCAACTGTAGATATTTTTCTTCATTTAGTATGTGAATTTCCACCCTATATTTTCGATTTATTATATATTCGAGATCGGGTAAGTTTTTGTAGATTTCCTTTGTTCATTGGGTTTTTTATTCTTCAAATTAAGTGACGTTTTGTATGGAGTCGACATTTTGTCACTAGGTATAATCCTTTTATTGATATTGTTGAACTTTCAACACAATTACATGCTTGTAAAGGTAATATTTTCTTATTTAAATTTGTTAGAAATCGATCCATTCACAGGTTTTCTAATTGTTTTAACACGTACTGACTACGTTGTCTTCTAAACAGTAAAAGTAAGATAATATGCGCATGTGTGAAATGCGTTTTTATCTTTCAAAGTCAAAATGTTACTAAACATTTGTTATATAGCAATGCCTGTTCTGAAGACGAAGACCTTCATAATTGCATAAACTGTAATTAATTGATAGTTGTTATAATCTGTGCAACTATTTTTAAAATGCTTATTTGGTTATTGTATTGATTTTCTCCTCCTATGTTACTGACCAACTATTTGAAGTGGAATAACGAGTAACTTACTGAAGAATTTGTTGTATCCTACTCTACGATTATGAAGCATTATCGCTGGGAATAAAAGCATAAAACACATCTACCTCCCAAAATTTAATCGTTTCCAAAGTATCGATCTTGTATCATGGAATTGGGCGGTCAAGAGTTACAATCGAATGATATATAAACTTTGGTGAAAACCTCGTTATTTTATTGGTATTTTTAAAGATCTTATCAATTGTCCAACCATCTATTCATGAGTTACTTAGATCGAATGATTTTCCCAATTGAATCATTAACTTGCAGTACGAACCGAAACCGAATAGTTTATATCAGTGTATTTTTCCTCGTAAATTCTTATTGTTTTCTATAATCATGTTTTGAAAAGCATTTGGTTCATTCATACATAGTTTTTATTTTATTCTCAACCTTTAATCATTTATATCATTCATAATATTCATTGTTTCTTAATTTTTCCCAAAACATTAAATCATATAGCTAATTAATATCAATTCCAACCAATCATTTCAACAGTTACAATCGTTCTCACCCTACATACCGAAAACATGCTTGTTTTCAGCATTTTTCCCTAGTAATCATCAAAGTGAATTGTATAATCTAGTAAATTTATCAACTGTTCACATTCCAATTGATATAATCAGATTACTGTATCCACATATTCAGTCAGCAGTGTATGCAAATCCTAATTGGTTTGTGAATATTTTAAATTCAACCAAAATGTTAGAGCTGTTTTCAACAATAGGAGGTCTTGAAGTGAGTTTTTCTGTTAGTTTCATGAATTCAAAGAGGTTATTTACAGTTGTTAGTTATAGTTCATTTTAGTTTCATTTATTGTATCACTGTTTTTTCCTCACATTGATAATCCATTTTCATTGCCATTCTACTTATTTCTCAGCGTTGTTGGTCAACAAGGAGAATATATATTTTAAATTTTGTTGTAAACCTCCCAAACTCCTCTTAGTATTTGATGGATATATCTTGCGATGTAACAACTGACCGTCTCTTCTGATAGTTCGCATTAGATTACTTGAATACTAATCAGTTTATCATGATATAATATATATGATTTCAAGTGACCTACATCGTTTACAACTTATTTCGCTGTCATGCTAATGATACCTTAAACCACTTATATCTTGTACTAAGTCTTCCATAGGACCTTATCATATTCTATGTCACATGTACATCCTGTTAGTCGAGATTCTTGAAGTATCTGGTGTAAATGGTTCTCATGCCTACCGTATAAATCATTTTTCAATGAGTATTGAGGACTTGTTCATTTCCAAGGGATTTATAGCATGAGAAACTGGCATACATACAGTAAGGTCACTCTTATACTTAACGAAAGTGTCTTGTGAATGGCGAATCATACAGCAAAAACACGAAGAGGGAATAGGAAAGAATAGCTCCTTGTGATAAACTAGAAATAGAATGCTTCTCACAAACACAGTGTAATCTCTTTTAGAGAAGTAATACAACAGCCGGTTGATCATCTTATTCTCGGTTTTAACGCTGATAAAGTTGCTTAATTATAGAAATCTTAGAATAAAATCGAAGGCAGAAGTATATTCTGGGAATGCACATCGAACATACTTCTCACCCTTTTCCAAACTAAACACTATATTATGATGCAGGACAACAGCAGCACTCAGGGCACGTCTTTCACATTTCCAAAAAGCATATGGATATGTGCTCTCCTTGAATCCAGACTGAGTTAAAAGTAGCAGTAGTTTTTCCATTATTTCACTTGGACAAGAACATGAAAGCAGAGCTCAAGGTAACAGTTGATAACATCAACGGTGTCTTCCAATGAGTCATTTGTAAATAAATCCCAGTTTGTTATTCGAAACATTTTTCTCGGATCTTGGATATTTTCGTCTGAGTAGCTCCTACATTTTTTTCTGGTCTGATGCAAAAATATATTCTCTCCAAGCTTCCCATATACTTTAGTTAGAATATGAATGAGTGCGATGAAGTACTTTTACGAGTCATATGCATTTCTACATTATTAGTAAGCTAAATCTAGAGATCCATTATAATTGGTGGGGAAATCGACTAGGTTCTGATGGCGTAGAGATAAAAAAAGCTTTAATCACACGAATTGAAACCATTACATGCAATTAAAAGAAAATCACTGAAGCTAGGAATGGCAAATTCAGAGATCTCATCGTCTATAACAGATGGTTCTCAGATGATCTGCTGTTCGGTATCACGTAAATGTTGACAATATAAATAGAAATGTACTTGTTCATGTGTTCAAGTGGATGGTATGTCGAAGATAAACAGTCGATGAATTCGTTTAAAAACCTAAAATATCTATAGTTTGATTAAAACCAGTTCACATTTATAAACGTAGTTACACTATGACCGCACCTTTCCTTATTGTTTGATCTATCCTGACGACAAACATTGAGACCATATAGTGATGCTAAACTATTTCCATGTATATCATTTAACTAGGTTTCTTGAATTGTGATTATACCATAATTAAGGTATATGTTAAGGCCGAGTAGAAATCAAAAATTGAGTCTTGTCCATTCAGTGATCTGCATTTAGAAGCCAGCAGTTAAAGAATAGAAATCTGATTAACATATTTTACCAACCATTGAGATTACATTTTACTGTAACTTATGAAGCGATAGATCGTAAACTTTTTATGTACGCATGGGAGTAGGTTACACAGTCCTAAGACATAATCTGTAGGTTAAAACAAACAAAACAGGCGACTTTTTGAAATATTTGAATGGTACGAAAGATAGATATTCTAGGTATTCAAGAAGACCGCCAAACTACATAGGACAAATTCATGGTATAAAGCATGTGTTATTGGTGTTGATTTCATTAACTAGCATTTCCATTGACAAATCGCGTTTAATGTGATTGTCTATCTCGAAGTGCCTTATTTATTTGACACTCCGTATGTTTACGTTTTACGGCTCCTGTTGCATAACCGTTATATCGTTATGCATTGTCATAGAGTATGCAGCTCAAACTAATTAATCATTATGAGATTTCGCGCTTACTCAACTATTTACTGCTAATTTTTCCTTTTTTTCACTTAGAAGAATAGTTGTAGTATAGTTATTCGTAAATTGTATGCATCATTATCCATCTAAATGAAGCATGTACATGATTTGTTTAACCTTAATGCACACCGTAAATGCGATACTACTCATCCTCAATTATTCTGACTTTTAAAATCTTTTGCATTGGTAACTATGTATAATGCTGAGTGAAAACGGAGCTACCATCCATCAAATATGTGCGTTAATGTCTCCAATCGACCGTATTCTTTTACTATTATTCTTGATTTTTCTTTGTTCTTTAGTTCATACGATCACATCTTCTGCCACTAATTATCTATCTATACGAACCTGAACAACTTAAACGTATGTCAAGTGATATCTCCCCGAGAATTCCTCTTGCTTTATTATATTCACGTTTATTTCTACGTCGTTTATTGGCTTATTTAAATGTGAACACATTTCTTGTACATATTTTACCTTATATAACCCTTAGTCTTATTGGAGGTAGTATAAACGCTTTATCTGATGAAAATATTGTATGGCATCAAAGAAGTTATGTTGGTCTTACAAATGAACAAATAGATTCTAAGAATTCAAATGCGAACCAAAACACGCCTGAATTATTGCGTCGTAATCTAGAATTAAATGATGAATCTTTATTATATGATCAATCGGAAAACATATCAGCACATTGCGATTTATTATTTTATAAACAAGATATTATGAATGTGGATGAGATTGGAATTGATCTTCGAAGTTTAATAAATGACGAAGAATTTCAATTCTTGGAAGATTCTAAAAGTTTGTCTACGTTCACTTGTGTAAAGTCCAGTGAAGAAGAATGTGATGATGTTAGTCGCAAATCGCTTCACAGTTGTCCAAGCGATGCAACACCAGCACCTCCTCTTCACTCCTCAAGGTAAACAGTTTGCAGGTTATATTATCCATAACTACCTATCTCAAGTTCTGTAATAGGTGTTCTGAGGGTTGTTAATTTTCGGTTCTTCATATCTTCGAAAGGTGCTTCTTTTTGAAGTACCCGAAAAGGAAGATGACTTATTAGTGGTGACTATGACTGCAGCACCCAAGAGACAATTGTTTAAACTTGACCACACATATTCGTTTTCCAAGCAGTTCTCGATTTGTTGACTTTGTACTTTCAAGGCTTTACCACAGTCGACAGAAATTCATGGAGTATGTTGAGGTGTGGTATTTTTAAGGTTGACATTTTCTAACTCTTTCCCACCTTTGTAATGATGCAGCATCACTGCAGATGCTGGTTTTCTAAAGTGAACCTTAGAGCCGTCACATCCCTGTACAGTCAATTATACAACTTTGTCTTTGGACAGCTCTTCAGTTGACCTGTCTGGAGTGGTGGGGAGTATAAGGACAAGTGTTTCATTCAGTATAGCCCGACTGGGTCATAATTTTATGTAAGTTTGACCGCCACATCAAAGTAATAGCTATGGTGAGGTTGGTCGCCTATCCCTTGAAAAAGTTGTTGGAATATTATTACACTATATATAACATGCTAGTTTACAAAAGTTAAGCAGTTTATGGACTAAACTGTTGAATTTCCCGCTTTTTCAGGGGTATAAAAGTGTTAAACGCTCTGGCCAGTAGTAAATAATCCAATATTGAAATAGTAACCAAACCGAACTGTTAACACTAACTTCATGTAAAAGTATATGTAAATGTCTAAAATAGATAGAAGTTATAAAAAACATGAAATTCTTCAAGGTGATCAGAAGTATCCATGTTGGTGAAAAAAAGTCATTTATTTACAGCTCTCATCCAGTTGGTCGTTTCAGTAAATTTTCTATTAAATCTTGGGGTTAAACTGAAAGAGAGTATCTTCAATTAGTTAATTTACTACTATTTATGTACTGTATATAAATGTTTAGCAAGAACACTTCTTGATTTGTAACTACTGTTCATGCTTTTTATTTAAAGATCTTATTAAACTATACTAGTAACAGTAGGTGACTATGTATGAAAAATAATTTCTAAAGGACGAGTGAAATTAGAGGATGAACGATATGAATTAGCACTGAAACCCAAGATTTAAGGGGGCTTAAAAATATGAGCCCATCTTTCCTACTGAGATTAAGATCAACAAATGTCACCTGAGGTTCTCAACCATAGATTATGATTATGTTACAGAGTCTGACTGAAACGTCCGTACTTCTGAAAAGTCTTTCAGAGTAAAATTCAACGATTTCACCAGCTGATGTTGGGTCACACTCATGTCAACCTTCACCTTTTTTCAACTAACTCTTCTGACAACCAGAATAGTTTTGTTGTGGTAGACAATAACTGTCCTTGCATAATATATGTCTTAACGTAAACAAATTAGATCTAGGTTAACTAAAAGTTTAAGGAACGATCGTGAGCAGTGGTGGGCAACGAAAGCAAAAGAGATGGAAAAGGCAGCGGCTGTAGGCAACACCAGGCAACTATTCAGACTAATAAAAGAAACCGTAATTAAAAAGTCAAGTGTAAGTGGGACAATCTCGGAAAAATACGGAACCCCTATCTGCTCTCAACCCAAACGTTTAGAACGATGGGCGGAACGCTTTAAGGAGCAGTTTAGCTGGCCTTCAGTTACCGCACAACTGCCCACTATTCCCAGAAAACCTGAATGGAACATTGAAGTAGGCCCCCCTGACCCTACTTGAGGTTCAAAAGGCTATAAGTAATCTGAAACGAGGAAGAGCAGCTGATCAAGATGGATTGGCTCCAGAGGTCTTTAAATATGGTGGTCCAATTTTAGCGATTAGGTTGACTAATATTCTGGCTAAAATCTGAGAGACGGACTGGCCACAACCTCTGATTGTCCCAATATATAAGAAGGGGTCAAAATCATCCTGTGATAACCATAGAGGGATTAGTCTGACTAACATAGCATCTAAAATAATAGCCTCAATAATTATCGGGCGCCTAACAAAGACTCGTGAACTCCAAACATGAGAATATCAGACTGGCTTCAGACCTGGTCGTGGCTGTATCGACCACATATTCACTATTCGTCAGGTTTTAGAACACAGGCATGCTTATCGGCATTTGACAATGATAGTTTTTCTTGACTTGAAAGCAGCATTTGACTCTGTAGATCGGTTATTCTGTGTCAGTGTCTGTCATTGAAAGGTGTACCTCAGAAGTATATAAACCTTGTGAAGGCTCTTTACTTGAGCACTATCAGTCGAGTGAGAGCTTATGGCGAACTGTCATATGATTTTACAACCTCAAGTGGTGTCCGTCAAGGCTGTCCACTACCTCCATTTTTGTTTAACTTCATTATAGACCTGTTGCTGGAAATAACACTCTCTTCGACTGAATTTTCAGGAATTGATCTTCTACCAGGAGGTTTACTTATCGACTTAGAATACGCAGATGACATAATCCTGTTTGGTGAAGACACTGACAAAATGCAGAGTCTTCTGTTAGAACTGAGTAACAATGCCAGGATGTTTGGGATGCGTTTCTCCCCGTCCAAATGTAAATTGTTACTCCAGGACTGGCCTGCGTCAACACTTGAACTAAGGATAGGGAGTGAAGTAGTCGAACGCGTCGACAACTTCATTTGTCTTGGAAGTCTGGTTATCCCTAATGGGTTGGTGTCTGACGAAATCTCAGCACGGATTCAAAAAGCTCGTTTGGCTTTTGCCAACTTACGTGACCTATGGCGATGACGAGATATCCGTCTATCAATTAAGGGACGAGTATACTGCGCAGCAGTTCGTTCTGTTTTACTCTATGGCTGCGAAACATGGCCATTAAGAGTAGAAGATCCTGGTAGGTTACTAGTATTTGACCACAGATGCCTTAGAAATATTGCTCGCATCTGCTGGGATAACCGGGTAAGTAATAGTGAGGTTAGACGCAGGGTATTAGGGAATGATGGTAAATCAGTTGACGAGGTCATGAATCTTCATCGACTGAGATGGTTGGGCCACGTGTTACGTATGTCTGAACATTGATTACCACGACGCGCTATGCTGACTAGTGTTGGGGATGGTTGGAAGAAAGTTAGAGGCGGCCAAACCAAAACATGGCATCAGAGCTTGAAGTCACTAACTTCTAGTCTGAGCCATGTTGGTAGATGCAGACTACCTGGTTGGGTTCCGCGTGACTATCGTAACCAATGGTTGGAGACTCTGTGTGACATGGCTCAGAATCGATCACAATGGCTTAGGTGTATACACTCTTTATCTTCCCTTAAACTATGAGATTAAAATTGCTTCGTAACTGTTTTCTTTCCTATACCATATCCCTATATACAGCCTTTTTTTATACTACCACCACTAAATTAACTATTTCTATGAATCCTTTGTTCATCTTGTTGTGCTAACGAGGTATGGCAACTTGGACCGATGCATATATGTGCCTGGTCCTACGTTGTCGACTGACTGACTGATATGTCTTAACGTACAACCTCACTAACTAATTTACTAATACTAAGGGTTTAAAAAATAACAAATTTCATAGTTTTACATACGTTCATGCAATTACTCTAACATTTATCACCTATCAAAACTTTTATCTCGCTTATTTTTTCTTTTATAGTTCCATTTCGCATAATTGTAATGTATCACAATCGTCACATGACAGTTTAACAGAAGATAAATGTGTTTGTGGTGAACCGAAGAAAGTTATATTTTCGAATAATACATCCTCTAATGATACTAATATTAGTAACTGTTCTAATATGAACAGCATTCCACCAATCACTGCAGCTATGGATAGTCTTGATTGGCTTGCTAGACGTATTGGTCCTGTAATGACGATTAAATATATTGTTAAGTATTTATTAACTACATTGACATTGTGTTATGAAGTGAGCAGATTTTTACTACCTTCTTACCGTTTCATTATTTTTTTTAGTTTCACAAAAATAGATTAAAGGGATTGTTAAATTTGTACTTATAACGATTCTTTTCAACAAATGGATATTTATCAGTATGGGGTTGTATAGATTGTTGAGTTTTGATTAAGATCATGAATTGTTCCATTGAAAAGCCGTAATCATTGGAGCTAAGCTGGGTCGGGTGTAAGGCAGTTACTCACCAAAGACAATGGAAGTTCGTTGCGCAATATCGTGGATTGGTTGGAGTTGGACATTAACACCACCGGATGCCGGCTCAATATTCTGAAGGTTAAGTGTTCGCGCACGAAAACGAAGGTCATGGGTTCGAATCCCGCGTGCGAGGTCGTGGATGCATACTCCCGAGGAGTCTCATACTAGAAATGGACGGCCATCCAGTGCTTCCAGGTTTTCAATGGTGGTCTAACATTGATCGATTCATGATCTCAACCAAAATTGCTATTTAGTAAATGTGATTAGTAAGAAAAATCATATACTTTGGAAGGAGAGTGTACATGAATAACTTGCCTATCTGCTTATTTTAATAATCTTCAACTGGTCGTTTACATCGTACTATATTTATCATATTGTTATCATCTTTGTTGCTCATGTTTGTACTCTCTTGTAATGATTTAAGCTACTGATTATTATTAGTATTAAATTTATCTTCCCGGTCTTATCGAAAGTCAAACAACTATCACTAATGACACTGGATTACCATCATTTGATTTACTGCTCGTCCCAAGTTGTAGCTGACTGCTAAATTATAAAAGTAAAGGATTAAAAGAAGACCTGAATATTCTAACCTCACATTGATGACGACAAAATATAACTAAATCAACCTGTTTTCTTTCCAATAAATTCTCTTCAGATTCTACAATTATATGTACAGACTAATAATCCAATAACTGACCATGTTCAAGGCAAAATACATTGTTTAAAATTATAGAATGTGAATTTAGGGTTGTTTGTAATATAAAATAAAGCATTTATTGTTGGAATAACCAATATAAAATGTTGACTTGAATAAGTCTATACCTTTAATGAAATTATTATTATTATTATTATCACTATTGTTATCCTTACTATTATAACACTTGCAAACCCTTTGAGAAACTTATTCAGCATCCACCTCTATTTACTAATTCGTACCCGACACTTATTATTCTGCATGCTACATTATTATCTCTCTCACCGCCATGTTGATCATATTTTTACTGATCTATTATCTCACAATTTGATTTAAGGTATAAACTTATTCAAATCAACACTTCATATTCGTCATCCCAACACAAGCGATGTGATTCTAGTTCTTATTGTAAACAATCCTAAAATCGCATTCTATAATTTTAAACAATCTATATCGCCTTGAACCTGGTCAATTTTTAGATTATTAATTTGATTATATAGTTGTAGAATCTGAAGAAAATTTATTGAAGAAAATATTCTTCGTTCATGTACCTGTTTTAACAGGATGTGAATTTTTCAAATACTATTTCCCTGCATTGAAGCCATGAACCAATCTAAATTAGACCACAAGTGAAAACATAGAAGCACTAGACGATCGTTCCAACCTGTAATCGGACTCCTCAGTAGCGCGCATACACGACCCCACACACAGTAATCAAACCCAGGACCTTCGGTTTTGCTCAAAAATGCTTAACTTCTAAACCACTAAGTCGGGATCAAACAGTGACAATATTTAGCTTCAATCAATCCATGACTTTGAATGACCATCTTCATGGTTTCAATGAAATTCAGCAATCTTCATAACCACTTACTGAAAACTATATTCTTTAATTTTTTATCTAAGATATTCTGGAGTGGAATTGGTAACTTAGAAAGCTGTCTTAAAGTTTGTTTACATTTATTAATTATTGAAATGTTATTAAAATCAGTGGCAAGCGACTTATATTTAAACTCATTTGTAAATCATAATTGACACTGGTAAAAAAAGTAGCAATGAATTTATAGCTTCTGTCGTCAAGAAAGCTTCGTTTTGATCAAGCAAGACCTCTATTTAAACGGCTTCTTAAAAGTATCATAATTACGCAAACTTTTTCGCTACTCTGCTAAGTGTTCTGTTTTATATTTGAGTTTGTTCTGAAATTGTTTTCCTGTATGTGTATGACTATATATGTGCATATTTGTTTCCGTGTAAATACATTATCATTTTGATATTGTCCTACGTCTTTCTAATTTATTTAGGGTAAAACGCAATTATCTGTTAACATGGTCAATAATATTTCATCTGAGAAATGTTTACAATTTTCTTTACAAATTAATAATCGTTCATTAATTGGTGATCGTTCAGCATTTAGTGTCGTAAGATGTTTAGTACAATTAGTACAAATTTATGGTGTATCTATTGTTATAGATGTATACTTACCTTATGTTATAAAAACAATCACATCGATTATTAATAATCTTAATCCTGTATTATCAGAATCCATAAATAATAATAATAATTTAAATCAAACTAATAATTATTGTATGAATCCATTGGAATCTGTTACAAATAATGAAGTAAATGCATCAACAATATCATTTAATTTTAATTATCATTATTTAGCACGACTTGTTGGAGTTCTTACATTGTTATATCAAATTGTTATTTATATACCGGATAATGAACTTGTTGAATTATTACAAGTAAGATATTAGCTATGTATTCATATTAAATCATAAATTGTAATTTTATTGTTATACTGATTTTTAATAACAGAAAAAATTACATTAAAGAATGATATTATTGAAAATTGAACTCTTTAAAAGATGAATATGTACTCGATTGAATTAGCATTAAAGATTGTGAATATCTATTGATAAGTTACGTTAACTTATACATTACACATGTATTCTTACCTACTCCTGTTCCCCCTCGTGGAGGAGCATAGGCCGCCCACCAGCATTCTCCATCCAACTCTGTCCTGAACAAAAACGTGTATTCTTAATTCAGAGTAAATTTTTGTTCGGAAAGTACTAAACTAAGAAAATATTTAAAATTATTTAAAAAAAGAATTTATACTGCTTTGAAGGTGTCAGCGACGATGATGAACATTTATTAGTCAGTCAATTACTGAGCATTATTCTATTAACATCATCAGGAGAGATCTCTATTTCTTAAGAAAACTTATCCATCTTAATTGGAAATGTTTACCATCTATTTAAACAAGAACATTAAGTATTTATTTGCTTTTTTTCTCTATCTAACAAGGTTGACCAATACATGTCGCGTATTGATCTCAATTTGTTTAAAATCTCAATTTATTATAGTGTTGCTTAATGTAACACATTTACTAGTCACATTTCTACTGTTTTATATAGTTTTCTCTTTCATCTATTTGTCGTATTTCATAAAAAAAACATAAATTTAGCTAAATATCAGTGTGATTTTTTCCGAAAAATACGTTTTTGTTGATTACTCTTTTTTTAGTAGTAAGTAATGTATTTCGATACGGAGAATATGTGATATATATATGTTTACATTTATTTATTAAATGAAATATTGAATAAATATATTTCAAGTTGCTTAGTTATAGATAGATGATATAGGTTGTAATTATAAGATAAATACAATTATCAATATTATCACATGATATATACCAGTTAAGTAAGTTTTGTGTGTGTGTGTGTGGTAGTATAGACTTCTAAGGTATTTTTACTCTAATGAGATTGAAATGAACATTTTTGCCACTTATGTCAGTTTGTTCAAAATCAAGAGTCATATTGTACTCACTGTATGGAGATACTAACCTTCGTCATTTATAAACATACCATGATATATTTTCAGATATTATGTATATAATCAATAATGGTGTATGGTAAAATGATATGCTTTAGACTTATGGACCCTGTAAACGTTTCATTATTCCACATTCCTATCAATTTCTTCTTCCCAAATTCTTAGTTCAAAGTAACCTAGGAATCATGTTTTTCAAAAAATTTATATCAACCTGATCATCCCTGTAATTTGGCATGAATTCCGTAATCATTTAAGGAATATATTATTATTGTATCTGACACAAATGATTTTATTGTATTTTTGTATGTATGAATAAGCTAACACAATTTAGGGTTTACCAGAAGACAAATATGCCTGTTATATGAATCTATTGGTGACTTTTCAGCTTTAATTCTATATAAAGTGTAATTTGAGAGGAATCATATCCGTTTTGAAAAATAAAACGTTAATTTACAACCAGAATGAGGTTTATTAAGTACATTAGTGGTTCAACTACATTGTACTTTTTACAAATTTGTAAAAAGTACAAAGTATGCCAAATTACAGGGATGATCAGGTTGATATAAATTTTTTGAAAAACATGATTCCTAGGTTACTTTGAACTAAGAATTTGGGAAAAAGAAATTGATAGGAATGTGGAATAATGAAACGTTTACAGGGTCCATAAGTCTAAAGCATATCATTTTACAATACACCATTATTGATTATATACACTCCATAAAATAAATAAATTAAACAACTATGTCGAAGTTTTACCACTAATATACAAACTGATAGCAAGTACAGAAATCCCAAAAAGTAGGGAGATATGAATCATTATGAGTTGTAATATAGAAAATGCTGCATATTTTCCACGTAAAGTGCATTAAATAATCGGGATCTGTGAACGAAATTTGTCCAAAGTAAATAAAATCGATGATAAAAAGGGATTGTATGTATTATTTGAATGATGATTATTAATTGTCAGGGAGCTCTTTTAGTTATAAAAAATGAAATAGAGATTCGCACTACTTAATTCACGTGTATTGGTTGTCTAATTTTTCTTATTAATGTTGAGAACTGCGATTAATCAGTTTCTTTTGTCATAAATGCATTATGTGCCAATCGCCTCGATATTCTCATTCAGTAACAAGCATTATATGCAGAAATGGATGGTGACTAGCGTTAGAATTCAGTATGCCACTGTGATCCTATTTGGGACTAATCAGACGGATGTTTTATTATTCTTCTGTGTTTTTAGGAATCCATTATACAAGACATTCTTATTAAAGCAGTTCAAATGTCTGGTCGTTTAGATATTAGTTTTCCTGGCGGTGTTATTGGACGTCGTGCCATTCTATATAAATTTATCAATGTTGTCTATATAATCGGTTTAAGAGTTGGTTTTGAATTAACACGTACTCAACTGACATCAATATTTCAAATATTTTTTGCACTTTTCGATCGTGTTATCAACACTGCTGCTACAAAATCCATTTTAACAGGTAAGTGGTCTATATTTTACGTGAGTATTCCTTATATCATGATATACATCAAGGAATGATCTCAATGAAACAACAGATAATAACCGGAAATCCCTGGATAGTTGTTTCTTAGTAGTATGGGTATCCTCAGCAGTACACACATGAACTCGACCCTGGGACCTTCAACTCTCTGCAGTGAATGTTTAATATTTTAACTACTGAGTCAACATTGTACGTTTTACACATCGAACGTTAATCAGTTCACGATATTTTGCAACTACCTTCCAATTTCATTGATTAGTATCTGCCTCGCACCTGACATGAATGAACTCCACTGGTCTCAACTGTTCTATAGAACTCCGGGAACCACTTCAAAATTGCTCATATTTGTGGACATGATTAATATGACTATAGGTGTTTTGTAAAGAATAATGAATTTCAAAATTCACATCACGGACTGAAAATGATTAGATAATTCATACTAGAATTAAACAGCTATCATGTGCTTCATGATTTTCAGTAATTGTCTAACTAATATTAATCTACAATGTAAACTACAAAGTCAGCAACCTCGACAAAGCTTCTACAAAAGTACTCCTTATTTATCAACTAATATTTAGGATGTACTGCCCATAAATGCCCTGGTACAGCTGAGGGTTGGGAGAGTTCTCTCTCCCTCTCCAAATGCTCTCACATGGCCACGTGCATACAACCACTGCCATGGAAGTCCTACACACTGCCTTCTCTTGGAGGAGATGTTGTTCACGAAATTAAGAAGATGAAATGCGAATTTCCGGCGCTTTAATCGGGTTAATGGACACGGAGGGTACACCTAAAGGAGTTGGAAAACCCTGATTCCAAACCAATGGTGCACATGGGCTACAGGATCCTGATGAAACAAATGGCGTATTAACCAATCGCTGGTCACCGGCTACCATGGGACTGCATCTCCTTACGATGCTCCACCACCTTGTGGATTAGACCTTTAGGTCAAGGGCTCTGAGTGTCCCCCCCCCGAAGAAAACCACCTGCTTCAGTTTGGGCACTCTGACAGTGTCACAGCCCTCACACAAGTCGAATGATTTATGTGGCGTATATCTATTTGGTATCCCTTTTTGTACCAATATCTATGTGTTTAAATAAATGAAAAAAAACGGGATGTAGTGAATTGCTAATATAAATTCATTAGACTAACATAATTACATTTTAATCAGATATAATGCTCACTGGAGGAAATATGTTTGTTGTAATCGGCGGAACTTTTTTTTCGTCAGCACAGACAATCCATATATCAATATTTTAGACACCAGAATCACGTTCATTGTGTTGTAGTATTAGATCTCTCGTTGGGGCCCAATGTCAAAGTCTCCATTTACCATTATTAGTTCTTGAATAGGTTGATCGGTTGAACTGTGTAGGATTGCTGAATACATACCTTAGTGTTGTTTTACGAAAAGGAATTTTAGTTTATATTTACCAATACCATACCAATTTTATAGAAAAGCGTGACATCTGTAAATTGCGAAACTTTAACTAGTTACATATATATCTATTCATAAAGCCAATTCAATAATATTTACATGTATGTAATTCTGTTCACACTTAATAAATCATTTTGTGCAGCTGAAGTTAGTTCTTAAATGTGTTTTCTTTTTAGACAATTGCTTATTTGGTGTTAATAATAATGATAGATGTCAACAACGTTGTGCTGATGATCCGGAACTACAGGTCACATCAACATCTCAAGTAACAAATGTAGAAGAGAATGCACAGAAATCAAACCTAACTAATATCTTTACTGAATTAATTGAAACATTCGATTGCGATCTCGCTCGAATGGCATATATTTCGTTTTGTCATCTCGCTGGTAGGTCTAATTTTCTCTTAATAACATAAAAGAACTATCAATCCCTCTGTAATTCTCCCTTTTTTTATCTACACTTTGCATTATAGTGTTTAGTTTTAACATGTTACTTGCCTAAATATATTGTTGGAGACATTTTGATCTCTTATTGTGTTGGATTACCTGGTATAATTATTTAATGAATGGCAGCTGTATGAACTATACTTCAAGACTGTCAATTAATGAAGACGTTAAACTACTAAAACATGGGCAGATAAATATGAATTCATGCGGCTGTAATCTAGTCTGTTAGAAATTTTGTTTTTACGAACATAAGGATTTAGATTAGATTTGATAAACTTATAAAATCATGTAAATAAAATCAATGCAAGTTATATACATTGAAATAGTTTTTGTGTTTAGGGAGACCATAGTGTGTGGCTTGTCTAATTGTGTATTGGAAGTTCAAAGCAACAATCTACAACTTAACACTGTTTTGTTTTACATAGAAAATATTTTTGTAACCTATAGAGTTTATTGTACTCGGCACTGTTTATATGAATAAAATATATTCAGCTAAATGTAACTTATCTAAGCTTCAACGGATTTTTCTGCAAAGATACAGTTAAGAATTCCATATAATTTTTCTCATTGATAAATTTGAGTAAAGCAAGGACCATAAAAGAAGCAGAATAACATGAATCCATTTACACTTTCTTATCAGCTCCTCATAACCTCTAAACGTAGTAGTATTAGTGGTGAGACTACAATTTATGAACCACCTTTGAGCGACGTTGAAGTGACCTTGAGAATGTCCACCTACCAACTAGGATCTAATAAGAGTTATAAAGCAGTGTGAGGAATTAGAATTATGATTTACAGTTAATGGTTATAGTTAGGAGTTAGATTTAGGGTTTTCATCACGAACTGACATAAGCTAAAATGCCAAAACGCTATTTAGCCGAGTGGATGAATGAATTTCGTGCCAAAATCAAAGACCTAATATCTTATATCTGATTAGTTCGTCCATAAATCATAGTCTCGTTGTTTTTTTATTCTGAAATATATATATATATATATATATATATATAATCGATTAATATTCACATTATTTGATATATGACCGTCTCTTATCGTTCTTCCGTACTTATCACTCTTCATTAATCTTCAACGATCAGGACTTTTTCAGTATCATAAAAGTATGTACACCGACTTTTAATGATTAATTTTATTATATTTAGAAGTTGTAACAGCTGATGAAAAACCATGATATAAAATGTATTCATGTTATTCTGCTATGTTCACCTTGAATGATCACTTTTAATTTGCTTACTTAAGTAGTATGGTTATTTGTAGTAATCTTTACAAAATGATACGGAGCATAAGATTGATTCGATTTGTAAAGTGGTATTTTCTTTTCAGGAATAATTCATTAGATTGAAAAGCATACATTTGATGTAAATTATATTCAATAAATCTCCAGAGCTTTTGAAAAAAATTATCTTTATATCGTATTAATTTCTTTCTGTAGGTGGTACATATATTGATGATTGTTTATACAATACACAATCTATTCAAAAATTAATTAATCAACTGATATCTAGCGAATCAAATGATACACTGAAACAATCGTGTTCTGATGAATCTAATAAAACAACAATTACATCTACTGATACTGCTGTTAACATTCAAGATGTTCAATTGGCAAATCGTAGTAAAATTGATTTTGAAGCTAGTTTAGTAAGTGAATTACAAATTAATTTATTTAATATAATTATAGAGTTGAGATCATGAGTCAATTGAAGCTAGACTACCATGGAAAACCTGGAAGCACTGGACGGCCGTTTCGTCCTATTATGGGACTCCTCAGCAGTGCGCGTCCACGAACCCACTCTCGCGGGATTCGAACCCAGGACCTACCAGTTTCGAGCCGAAGCCCTTAACCGATAGACCACTGAGCTGGCATCCAACTCAGTTGAAGTTAGAAATTAACACCGTTGGATGCCAGCTCAGTGGTCTATCGGTTAAGGGCTTCGGCTCGAAACTGGTAGGTCCTGGGTTCGAATCCCGCGAGAGTGGGTTCGTGGACGCGCACTGCTGAGGAGTCCCATAATAGGACGAAACGGCCGTCCAGTGCTTCCAGGTTTTCCATGGTAGTCTAGCTTCAATTGACTCATGATCTCAACTCTATAAAAATACTAAAATCTCCACAAAACCCCTTCTGATTATTTAATATAAGTTTATTTTCTGTCTGTCATCTCTTAGATCCGATAATTCAACCTCTTTTTTTTCGACTTATTTGAGTAGTGAATTAAGATGTAACTGTTATTTATTTAATCATAAAACTGAAATTAAAGCATTTATATACAGAAAAATACTGAACAAAATATAATATTATATTTTTTTGGCTTAAATTCATCCCCTCAATTCACACTAAACTTCACTATCATGAATTTTTATTACTTTCAGTGAAAATTTCTCAAGATTGGTTGTACTGAACGGATGATTTATGTCGTTATTTCAAAGGTTTTTGTTCATGAAAATGTGATAGATGTAAAGATATAACAAAAGTTATTTATTCCACTAAGCCATGATTTATGAGCTTTCCATTAAGTAGTTATTCGATATTTTTCTTCCTTTATTTCTGCTAACGGAAACAAGTAATCCTCGATAGAGTACAATTAAGAGGCGTAATATCAATCTCTTCGGTTCTTTTGGTTTTTAAGGCGCTTGGTTTTCTGTTATGACGTTGGATTTTCGAACCATACTGGAAATACATCAGTTTCATAACTCAGTTAAGATTAATAACACACAGAACTCATAACTCAAAACTGAGCATACAAATCTGAGACAAAAACACGATAAGTCTGAGTTGTAGGTTAAAGATTTATGCTTATCATTCATATGGAGTTTGATAAAAGCACTAAGTGATGAAAGTGTATATTCAAGATTTGTGAAGTTCAAAACTTTGTATCTCTGTAATGATGCAATCTGTTATTGTTAATCTTTCACGTATGAATAATTTGTTTATTCAGGTGATTTATTAAAGTTGTGGGTAACATTTTGTATCGATATTTTTGTTATGTGTTTATTAATCAAATATGCTTCATTCTTATCCCAGTATAATGTCTATGTAAGAAGTGTTTTTTTTCAGCGATGTTTTTGTACTTTAAGCATAAATCTCATTTTGATCTACTTTTTCACAATTGTTGAAACAGAAATTTGAAATCGGATTGTTTCTTGTGTGGTTTTATTATCCTCATCACAAGGATACTGCTTACTTACTTGAAGGCATTGATTTTATAATACTCCTTTTTGTATGCAGGGAAAGTCCTCTGCTGATGATCTGCTGCCATTTGATGAAATGAGACACTAAAAGTATCTGCATTTTCTTCATTACATTTTGTTAGTTGGGTGTATAACTTATACTTGCTAATGATTACGTTAAAATGCAAGTATATCACTAATTGTAGCAAAATACATGTTTCCAAAAATTGCTTGGTTCGTAACTATAAATCCTATATTTGAATGCATCAAGTACTGGAAAATAATAATTTTTATGTTCCGATAAAAAATAGTTCCTGAAGATATTTTTTAGACAAGAAGAACTCTAAGTATCAGGTAGTTTTTCAGAAAGAAGGTAGTGTTATGTTATTTTGCGAAAGTGTCTACCAGAGAATGTTTAGATAATATGTGAAAAATGTTGATGTGATCATCATACGAATACATATATTCTCTACGTTTTTATCAATTTTCTCACTCACTCCCATCAGTTTTTAAGATAAGTACCAATGATAAGTTAGTCATTTATAATCAACAAACAACATCATCACGATGTGATGAAGTTAGCAAGGTCGAAATAATTGTAGTTGCGGTGATAATGCGAAACTCTAGACATTGCTAATACGAATTGAGAAGACGGAATGCAAAGCTATGTTTAAAGAAATACTCAAATTCAAGATCTAAATCAAGATAAACGGTGAACGTAACAGCTCTGTTGTAACCAATTCTAAGACATATCATCCAATGTCTCTAACCATTGATCGCAGTTATTGCATGGACTTTAACCAAGCAGTTTACATCTATCAACATGTCTCAGATCAATAGACAATGATCTATGGATTGATAAGTGTCTCCTTGTTTTCCATTTATCTCATCACTTAATCGACATACTTTGTTGTTTTAGTCCCATAAATTTATTTTTGCTTGTCGCTTAAATAAGCTTCGCTTTTAACTTGTCATCGATGGTGGTAAATAGCTGTTTTAACGAATATTTACTATTCTCTTACTAGTTCTGTTAATAAAAGAGCTTTCAAAAAGCGTTTCTTTGAGACATTGCTTTTGGTCCAAAATACATTTTTATTAAGACCATGGTTAATTTTAATGTGTAATATAAACAAGGAATCATTCCCACTTTTAAAAGTAACAATTATTTGGTTTGAATATTTTCACTCAAAACGTTAACATAACTTCTTTGTATAACAATAAGTGGTTACAAGCCTACTATAATATACTTGATTTAATTAATTAATATTTCAGTTTGCTAGTTCAGCATTGTGCAATGACTGCAATTTTCATTTGCGCGGTGCTTGGCGTCAAGTCATTTGTGAAATCTTTGAGACTAGCTTCCACCAGTCAGCTTCTATTCCAAAGTACCATGGTATACAAGTAGCTGCATTCACAGGTAACTTTACATCAAATGTATTCAGTCTCAATAATAATAGTTTTTATATGATACACTATTGTCATGTCACGCAAATAAAACGTTCTACTGAATGTGCAAAGACAATCACCCTTCAGTATTTTTCCGTATTATTGTATATATAATATAAAACGTGAAGGAGATAATCTTGCACCGAGCATAAGAATATTGGATACCAGATTTATAGCAGTTTGATTTCCATCATTTTTGCATGACTGTGGAATTTGCATATGCACTTCCGTATTTCTCGTCTTTGTTAACTTCATTAAAAACTACGATAAAAATATTATCTTCTTTGAAAATCTTCCTAAGGTATCAGCCACTACCTGAAAATATGACATCTTTTTCTTCAACGAAGCATCTGTGTGACTTGTTGGGCGCAGATTTTCTGTTCTCAACTTTGAAGTACCTACTATCTATGCGTAAACTAACGATGCTAACCAACTATCAACCTTGAAATACTTACGTCTGTTACCCCTCATGGAGGAGCATATGCCGCTCACCAGCATTCTCCATCGAACTCTGTCCTGGTCAGTCCTTTTCGGTTCTTTCCAGTTGCTATTCATCCTTTTCATACCTGCTTCCAATTCCCGACGCTGTGTGTTCTTTGATCTTCTTCTTTTCTGTCCCCCTTCAGGATTCCAAGTTAGCACCTGCCCCGTGATGCAGTTTGATGATTTCCTCAATGTGCTTCCTATCTACTTCCAACGTCTTTTCCTAATTTCCTCCTCAACTGGAAGTTGGTTTATTCTCTCCCACAGAAGGCTGTTGCTGATGGTTTCCTGTCAAAGGACATTGAGTATCTTACATAGACAATTGTTTATAAATACTTGCAATTTCTTGATGGTGGTTGTGGTAGTTCTCTAATTATCAGCTCCGTACAATATAACTGCTTTGACGTTCGTATTGAAGATTCTGACTTTCATATTGGTTGACAGTTGTTTTGAGTTCAATGTGTTCTTGTGGTGTATGAATGCCGTCCTTGCTTTGCCGATCCTCGCCTTTGCGTCTGCATCATATCTTCCTTGTTCATCGAAGATGCTACCCAAATAAATGAAACTTTTCATCTCTTCCAGAGTTTCTCCATCCAGTTTGATTGGGTTGATATTCTGCGTGTTTGAATTTGAGAATCTTGGTTTCTCCTTTGTGTGTGTTGAGGCCTACGGATGCAAGGGCTACTGCTACACTGTTTGTCTTGACCTGCATTTGTTGATGTGTATAAAATAGAAGAGTCAGGCCATCTAAGAAGTCCGAATCGTCTAGTTGCATCTAACCAGTCCATTTTATTCCGTGCTTCTCGTTACAACAAGTTACTATGGGAGACAACAAATCAGATTCCAGCGGAGGAAGAAATCAGGAGGAAGCGCTTGAAGTGGATAGGGCACACTTTGAGGAAATCACCCGATTGCGTCGCAAGACAAGCCCTCACATGGAATCCTGAAGGTCAAAGGAGAAGAGGAAGACCAAAGAACACATTACGCCGAGAAATAGAGACAGACATGAGAAGAATGAACAAGAACTGGATAGAACTAGAAAAGAAGGCCCAGGACAGAGTGGGTTGGAGAATGCTGGTCGGCGGCCTATGCTCCACTGGGAGTAACAGGCGAAAGTAAGTTCTCGTTACATGTGGAGGTCCTCGTAATTCAGTCAACCACGAGAAGAAAGAGGAATGGGGGAGTAGACAGTTTTGTCTGACTCCAGTCCTTATTTCGAATACGTCTGTCAACTGTCCTCTATACACGATTTCGTGGTGTAGTCTGTCGTATGAACTACGGATGATGTTGACGACCTTTTCAGGTTCTCCATATTGTCGAAGAAGTTTCCATACTGTTCTCCTATTCACACTGTCAAACGCCTTCTCATAGTCAAAGAAATTGATGTATAGTGATGAATTCAATTCAATTTATTGTTCAACATTGATCTGTAGCGTCGGGGTTCGGTCTGTGCAATACCTATCTTTAAGGAATCCAGCCTGTTGATCTCGAAGTTGGGTGTCTACTGAATCTCTGATCCGGTTCAGCAATACTCTATTGAAAACGTTTCCTGATGCTAACAGTAGTATTATGTATCTGTAGTTCTTACACTTTCTCAGATCTCCTTTCATTAATATCTTGATGAGATATCCTTCTTTCCAGTCTGTTGATAATTCTTCCTCTCAAGTCTTCCTGAATAGAATGTGGAGCATGTTTGCAGTTACTTCTATGTTCGACTTCAGTGATTCAACTGGATTGTTGCTAGGTCCTGCTGCCTTCCCATTCTTGATTTGTCTGATGGCCATCTTGATTTATTCGAGCGTTGGTGGATCAACATCTATAGGAAGGTTTGTGTGTGCTGCTTCGATGTTTGGTGGATTTAACGTAGCTGATCTGTTCAAGAGATCCTCGAAGTGTTCCACCTACTTTTTCTTTTGTTATTGAATCTCGGTGAGTGCTTACCTTCTTTGTCCTTGACTGGTCTCTCTGGTGTACTATATTCCCCTACCAGTTTCATATAGTTGTTTCATATTTCCTTCTCTTGCAAATTTTTTCACTGTTGTTGCTAGGTCTTTCACGTTTTTCTGCTTGTCAGTTCTAAGGCTCTTCTTCACTTGCTTGCTTGTTTCAATGTATTCACCTTGTACCTTGACTTTCTCTGTTCTTGTTCGGCTGTCGCTAAATGCTATTTTATTGTTCTAACTTTCTTGGATCTTGTGCTGGGTTTCGATAGCGATCCATTCCTTATGATAATTCTTCTTGTGACCCAGAACCACCTGACACTTTGAAGTTAATGCTCTTTTGATCCCTTTCCAGTTGTCCCCTATAGTAGTTTCTTATTCTGTGAGTTGATCCTGTAAGGCTTCGAACATGTTGTTGAGAGTTATCTTGAATTCGTTGAATTTGTCAGTATCTCGAAGGAAGGCTGTATTGAACCTTCGTAATGCTGTATATCCAGTTGTCCAAAGCTTCTTCAGCTTCGGTTCCACCTTGACCACAACCAGGTGGTGATCTGAAGCTATGTCAGCTCCTCTCCTGGTTCTCAGGTATTCCATTGACCTTCTGATTGTCTTGGTGATACAACCATGATCTATCTGGTTCTGTGTAGTGTGATCCAGTGAGACTTATGTAGCTTTGTGTATGTGTTTGTATGGGAACATTGTGCTGCCTATAACCATTTTGTTAAATGTACTTAAATTTGCAAATCTCTCACCATTCTCGTTCCTTTCCCCCAGTCCATCATTGGTGGGTGTATAACATTGGGTACCATTCATTGCAATTCTCCCTTTCTTTGTTTTAAAGGATGCTTTGATGATCCTGGATCCATGAGATTCCCATCCTATAAGTGCATTTCGTGCTTCTTTGGATAACATCAGAGCAACTTTCTGAGTGTGTGGAGCATTTTCCTCTTCGTAACAGGAGTACAGAAGCATTTTCCCGTATCTAACGTTTGCTGTCCAGCTTGAGTTCAATGGGTTTCGCTGATTACGAGTACTGCCAATTTATATCTCCTCATTTTCGTTGCTATTTGACTGGTCCTTCAAGTCTACCACATTGTCCGGACGTTCCATGTACCTATAAAACGTGTTGCTCTGGTTGTTAGAAGGGACATCGGCCTCATGGCTTCTAAGCAATCTCGGCTTTTATCATGAGGCGCCATAATTCTTCCTCCAACTCGAAGGGCAGAGTTTAGATTGTTTACCCTAGTTAGTGTTTTTTTTAGCAAGGTCGTTTTCTATGTAATGGGGTTGCCGACCCAATACCTAACCCTTTTCCTTTGTATCGGCTTGCGGTTTAATCATTGATAATTTGAATATTTAAAGCTACCACTCTATTATTGAAAACTTACTTTATTATAGTCTTCATTCATTTTAATTAGAATTAAATTGTATATTGCTTTCAACACATTGTTTTGTAAAATGGAACATTTACAATCGAGTTTCCAGTCGAATTCTCTCTATCTCTAGTATACACTACAGACGTTGAGTAGTAAACAATTTTGTGTGAAGTTGAATTTGTGTATTTTGCTCAGAATATGTTATTAATGTGGCGATTCAATAGGCTTTGAGTGAGCTATACTTTTTTTACCAATAACATTCTAAAGGCCTACTGTCAAAAAGAACCAGTCTTAAATTAATGATCTTCTACAGGGATAGATACAACCTCACCAATTTATTTACTCTTATTTTATTAACACTAATGTTAAATATCAGTTTCTTATTAGTCGTCTATTATACGTAGGAGGTTTTCTTTAAAAAACTTTTATTTTCTAGGCCATATTAACAAAATCAATTGTATCACGCATTTAAATACAGAAAATTGTTTCATTACAACAAGTCGTGATAAAACAGTTCAATTATGGTCATTAACTGATACTTATAATTCTGGTCAACATTCAATATCCATCAGTCATAAAATAACTAATAATAGTAACAATGTGAATAATTCAAATAAAAGTCTACCTATTGATTCAAGTAATCATGTAGTTGCTCGTCTAGTATACAGAGCACATAGAAAATCTGTAATTGCTGCTCATTATCTAGAACCCTATCGATTAGTGGCTTCTGTTGATGGTTGTTTGATCTTCTGGGATCCATGGATGGGGAAAACAGTATGTTTCATCATTATTCTTTTATAAAACAGAAATATATGAGCTCAGATATTTTTCCTAAAAATATGCTGAAAATGTGTATGTGTAATTATACTTTTTGTTCATCCTTGTGATTTACCAGTTACGTTAAAACATCATATATATTTCAATTACATTTTGTAAGTAGACTCCATTTCTCCATTTGAAACTATATTCCATCAATATACCACTCGCAAAAGAGAAGGCAAATAGTAGTTGTAGACTGTGTAGCTTGAATCAAAATTAATCCCACTTTTCAGCATCATCGTCATCGAAATGATATTCATACTGAAGTCCTTATTGTTTTATGTCAGCGTTTCCTATATGTAGCTGTCGGAATTAAAAGAAATGTCTTTAAGTGAGATTTGACAATGTTTATCACTGAAATGATTAATTCAATTCACCTGCACTCCAATATTGATATTCACAACAGGGATTTAACCAACGCCTATCGCTTTAAACACCATTTAGCCACTGAGTGGCTAAAAGAGGTATTATTTAAACGGTAATCTAATTCCTTTAAATGTGAAAAATGTTTCTACTAATTGGTATTTAGTAGTAAACTTTGATTATGATTCTTAATGTATCGTTAAACAGAATAATATTATGCTCTGGCATTTCCTTCCAGAAAATCTAGTCATAAGTTTGGTTTTTCGAAAGTTTCAATTATTTTCTTCTGAGAAAGTTTGATGTGCAAGCCAAAAAAAGAAAGAAGATACTGCCTGTTATATATATATATATATATGCTTCATGATTTTCTTTTACTAATAAAGACCTCAGAATATTTTTTAAACCTTAGAGACCGAAATCACATCATAGTAGGAAAAATTATATAATAATGCTTTTAAATTTCCTGCAAAGTTGGAATCACTTCATTCCATTTTTAGCTATTTGTTTGTGTTCACGAATAACTGTATAAATAGTCTAATTCCGGCTTTGGAATAGCATTTCTCTGTAAACTTAAGTATCTGTAACGAATATCTACGTCTCATTTCGGACAGTTAATGAAAACAATTCCCATTTCTTTCATGATAAGTGAAAAGTCATTTGACACTGAAATTAATGAACATTATATTACTGTACAAGTAAGTCATATTCTTGGTCATTTAAAACGCTTAGACACACTTCTTTTGAATTGATCAGTATACTGATAAAATCGACTTTTTTGTTTTCGGAAATCTGTAGAATTTTTCTCTCTCCATCCCATTAGGTAAAATCCAATAATCAAAGCGAGAACTCAAGTTGGCAAAATCTAACTGCAATGAATTGTAGCGCTGTTCCTTATGGAGCCGTTATCTGTTCTGACCAGTCAGGTTTTGTGCACCTTATAGATCCCCGAGCTGTATGTTCTGGAAGAACAGGGAGTTTACGTTTTCATAGTGGTTCAAATTTAGCTTCATTTCTATTAAACAAAGAACGCTCAAAATTTGAAACTCCTATCAGTGAATCAATCAAACATACAAGTTATAATACGAAATCATGCTGTAAGTTCAGTGCTGCAATTTTTGTTGTGTTTACTGTTGAAAATCCTTTTTTAAAGTTTTAGTAATATCTGGACTTTAATTTTTGTTCTATGCTAGCATTACTACTGTAGTATACGCTTCTTATGTGGACAGATATAAGTAGTATGTAACAAGAATAAGAAGTGTAATGGTTACTAGTAGAAGATTAAAATAGAGGGAACAGAAAGAAAGACGGAGAGCATTCAGAATAAAAACAGAATTATAAGAATGATAGAGTACGTAAAGGACAACTGAAGGAGGATGTGCAAATGATGTATTTAATATGTGATTTCCATATTTTACGAAGGCACTATGCAATTTCGCATAAAACATTGGATAGATTTTTCCCACCCGAGCTTTCGTTCTCTACATTACTCCTAATGTGAAACATAACTTACTGATTTATGTACAAATTCTTTTACTGAAAACGTATGACCTATCACATAATAATCAAACTTATCAAAAATGACAGTATCTGTAAGATACGTTGAATTCATTGTATTCTCCTCAGCTCTATAGAAACTGATGAATTTAATTATTTCCAGTTCGTAACATAATATTGAAATCTACCTTTCTAAAATTCGCAAACATCATAGCAATCAGATGGTTTAAACCTGATTTTCGTATTTAAGTAGTCAGTGGTCAATCTTCAACTGATTTGTTACACAAAAACAGATTACAGATTTCGACCTGTTTTTCTTTTCTGTAACTAACTATAATCACAATCTAGTGAGTTTAATTTTCATGTCTGTTTCTTCTCTCTAAACCTCCTAGATTTTCAATGACAAAATATATTTTTTTCATATCCTAATGAGTAGAAAAATTGTGTTTCTGACGTTTTGTGACTTGATGTAAACCACTTCTTCACATTAAATAAATAACCGGATTTGCTCTAAAGAAATGACTTATATTAGGTCACGAAACGTCAGAAACACAATTTTTCTACTCATTGGGATTTTTTAAAAATATACTTATTGTTAACTTTTCACATAATGCTCAATTTACTTGAAACTATCTAGTCCAACCTTGGCATTGATATCTACAAACTCATAGACTTTTGTTACAGTACATAGTAATGCTATCTTAAACATTCTAAAACTGTCACTCTGAATAATCATAAAAATCCTGTTAAAAATTAAGTTTTAAACTTCTATATTTCAAACAAATTATTCGTTATTATTAAAAAATATCCATATTATGCTTATAATTAGAAATAATTAAACTTACTAGCTGGTATGTAGCTTAAGAGAAAGCAATAAAATACAATAATCCCTCTAAATATTGTCTTTCTATGTTTAAATTTGTAAATAGAATCAGTTTTATGGAATGACCATATATATATATATAAGTGAACACCATAGAACAATTAATATTGATTGACAAATTGATTGTTGTTACCATACTATGTTAAGTAAAAATGATTTCATTTTGTTTAGGTGTAGTTTAGTTGTTCACTTAAACGACGAATATTGTTGTTTTACAAGTTTTGTCATAGTTTAGCTATATCTACTCATACAATATCATTTGTGTTCTTATAAATTGGACCATTTTTAATGTTTGATTTCCAATGTACAAGGATTCATTTATCTTCTCTTTCAACTGGCTCGTTAAATTGAATCAACGGGGCATTTCATACAACTCTCTAATTTTAATCATCATATTGGAAATAATTATTCCTTATCATTTTTTAAATCTTTTATTCTTTTGAACATCATATGCTGTTTTTTGGATTGGACTATATCATAAATATTCTATTAGCTAACTCATTTATTAAGTACACATATGGTTACTTGATTTTGAGACACATGATTTGTATAAATTCTTATGATACTCACCCAAACGCATAAACTGAATCTATAATTGAAGGGACCTCGAACGTGTGGTCTAATAGTTGAAAGTTGAGTTCTTTTACTGATAAATTACTGGGTTTTTTTAATTATCAAAAGATTCTGTTCAACAAGCTGTATGTTTCTAATTGATGGGTTGTTTTTAGATTTTGTCACATATTTCTTGCCTGTATTTATTTTCACACTCTTATTCACAGTTTGTCCCCAAATGCCCTGGTACGGCCGAGAGTGTGGAGAGTCCGCTCTCCCTCTCCAAATGCTCTCACATGGCCAGCAAATATATAGCCTCCGCCAGGGAAGTTCTACTCACTGCCTTCTCGTGGCATTACTGTTGTTTACGAAATTGAGAGGACGAAAAGCGAATGTCCGGCGTATTAACCGGGTTAGTGAACACGGAAAGTTCACCTAGGGGAGTTGGAAAACCCTGATTCCAAACCAATGGTGCAATAGGCTCCAGTATCCTTAGGGAACAAATGGCGTACGAATCAATCGTTGATCACCGGCTACCATGAGACTGCATCTCCTCACGATGCTCCACTACCTTGTGGATCAGACCTTTATGTTGAAGGCTCCGGGTGTGGCCATCTAAGAAAACCACCTGCTTCAGTTTTGGCACCTGGGAAGTATCACAGCCTTCACACAAATCAAATGAGATTTGTGTTGCACATATATATCTGGTGCCACGTTTGTACCAATATCTATGTGTTTAAATAAATAAATAATTCACAATTTACTTTCATATTATCCATTTAACAGCTCCTCTTTTTTACAATCAGTCTACAATGGATATATCTATCACAAATATTATGATGAACATAACTAATCAATTTCAACCATATCATTTATCAATGAATTCGTTTACTAATGTGAATAGTAATTCGTCAATTTCTTCTCTACTAAATGCCAATACAAATATGGCTGGTTTGCTAAATTGTTTAACAACCAGTCGAAATGGTTATTATTTACTGTGTGGTTTTACAACAGGCATAATTACTGCATTAGATCTACGAATGGGACAGGTTATTCACATATGGAGAGAATATCAGGACTCAGTGGTCGATGTGAGTAATTTGTTCCTCGTTTTTTTTATTGTTTTAGTTGTTTTCTTAAACCTATCTCTACTATAATGAAGGATTTTTAAAACACTATTTACAGTTTTATTTAGAGTTTCCACACTTGTAAAGGGTGAAACTAATGGTTTTCCCAATGTGTACACTGTTCGGTCAGTGACGAAACTTATCAAAGCTATGTGATATATTAGCGCAATACATTCCGAACAATCTGATCACACATATATATTTGTTAAGAACATTTATATCTAAAAATCAAAGGTCAACTAGATTTGAAATGGGGGTTAAGAGGGGACAAGGATAATAATAATAATAATAATAATAATAATAATAATAATAATAATAGCGTGAAAACAATTTGAAATCTAATCACTCTAAATAATAAGCTAATGTTACCTGGGTGAGAACAAACTGTTTTTTAATACACAAAGAGGGGTTGAATTTTCGTATTGCTAAGGCTTCAATAAACCTTAGTATACGCCCTTTTACACAGGTTTACATATGTTTCACATTATTATTGTTATTATTATTATTATCCTTTTCTCATCTTATCCTCCGTTTCCAGTCTAGTTGACCTTTGATTTTTAGATATAAATGTTCTTAACAAATATATATGTGTGATCAGATTGTTCGGAATGTATTGCGCTAATATGTCACAAAGTTCTGATAATCTTCGTCTTCTTATTACACTATCGAAAAGTGTTTATGATAAGCGTTACATAAAAACATTTCCTTCGGTATTTTGAGTCGTTTACCAGCCCTGATTAGTGTTGACCAAAGGAAATCCTTAATATGTTTGGATTGAGTATAAAAGCTAACTTGTTAAAAGTTTATTCTTCTAACAGATAGCATTACTCATGTACAGTAAGACTATTGAGTAGAAATATTATAAAAAAGCGTGAAATACTAGATCAACATGTAAACTCAGTCTATTAGATTATGAATGGTTTGTAGACCGATTATATACTTAGAGTATGTTTTTTAGCTTGTCGAACTATCTCTCATCTTGTTTGACGCCAACACAATGATTGGAGCTTTGATATTTCAACATAGACGTGGAACAAATCCATGCTTTTCTGATAAGTGATTAGATTGAAACTTGAAGTCTACTATTTGTGTTATGATGTCTCTGGTAAAACTTTACCTGAAATTCATTGAAATCTGTTGTATGCTCTTGTTTAAAATATCTTTCATTGATTTATTATGCTAAGTTTAAAATTGAGTGAAAACACTAACGTATTGTACTAAAATGGAGGAAGTTAGCAAATGATTATCCCAAGTTCAAAATTTTCTAAATGCCATTTAAACAGGTGACCTTTGTTTTTCATCTTTGAATCACTGAAACCTTATGTAAGAGCCACAAATATGGTTCATATTATCACATTCGTCCTGGACTATACTAAAAATAGATTGATTTTATCAAGTGCGCCGACACTTATTTGAGCTTCTCGGCAGTTTTCAATGACTCAATATGTAACCTTTCGGTCAAAGGGTATGTTTCTGTCGATTTTGATTGAATACCTTGACTTTCAATCGAGCGAATTTCACGCCTTACTTACGGTTTTTCGTCCTTCTAAGTTATTTAAAGGAAAGTAAAATTGTGCCTCAGAGTGAACAGTCGATTCGTCAATTATCTACTCTACATTTTTACCATATTAAATAAATTACTTACCGAGCTCCGCATAATAATACTCCTTATATATTGATATTATTATTCAATTTAGATTATCCCACATCTTTTGGATGGATTTATATCATGTAATGATCGAAATTTATCATTCATTAATCCAACTATTTCACAATCCAATCAAAATTCATTATCAACTTCATATAGTGAATTAGAAAATTTTAATTATTTACCGAATAAACCCACAATTAGTTTGAAACCAAAATCTATTCGAATCCCGTCAACACTCCAGAATATCACATGTTTAACTAAATATCAAGAAAATCCAATTTTTTGTGCTAATTCTTTACCTCCATCATATCCATTACCGAGTACAAGTCGTTTCCCAATTTTTGGCAGTGGAAGTGGAGGCGGAGGAACAAATAATGTAACTACGAACCCAGATAAATCAACATTGTCATCTATAATAAACGAAACAACAACTACACCGTTGTCAAGTGCTACAATAGTATCACAACCATACTATAATAATAATAGTGGAACAATATTAGCAACTTATTCATATCCATTCAATAATAAGGATATCATTAATATAAATGAAAATTTTTATACTTTAGGCAGAATTTCTTCATATTTTCTACGTGGTTCCATTAGTGTTATAAATTCATTATCAGAAAATAATTTATTATTAATAGGAAGTGATACTGGTGCATTAAGTTTATTATATTAATTTTTTTCTTTAAAAAATGATTCAAACAAAACAGAAAGCATTTCACTTTGATTTGTTTATTTTATCTTGTTTTCTTTTTTGCTGGTATCGTTTACATACAACAAATTGTGTATTAGGACACAATAGATAACTTTAAGCAAACAGCACCAATACACAAATATACATATACTCACTCATTCAAATATTCTTTCTGAAATGACTGTATGATTATTATTATTATTATTAACATTCCTTTATGGTAAAATAACAAGAAAAACAACAACATCAGATCATTTGAATACTTTGTTATACATATATAATGTGCTACTTTACAGAACGTTATTTAATTTACACTGACCTCGATAACAATGATTGTATTGAAAACGATTTTGTACTGTTTATTCCTACTTCTTTTTTTATTTATTTACTCTGGCTTTTTTTTCTTCATTTTTTATGACTTATTTATCATTTTGTCTTTTCTTTTTTTTGAGGGGTTATCTGTTAGCAACTTTCTTTTTATTAAATCCGGAAATATTAAATTTTTGTTATTTTCACTTTTCTTTTTCTCAAATACAATGAAAGCAATATGAAAATGTGAATGATGAATTAATGTGTTTTATCCTTCTTAGTAAAAAAAAAACAAAAATAGAAAAAAAAGAATAAACACCAGACTTTTTTTGAATAATGTTTTCGTGATTTAAATCCGTAGATGATATTTTTTTAAATTATACTGTAACTAAATGTATTCGGTTAAACAGCATTTTTATTGTTTTTTGGTATTAATAGGGGTCTATAGTAACGCAAAGGATAAAAATCAACCAATCAAGTTAACTATGTGGCAGTCATATTAGTGGCAGCTTCTTCATTTCTTGTAAAAATTTAATAATATTCATTGTTTCTTTGATAATTTGACATGAATTGAGCACACATATTTCTATGTGTGCATGCGTGTATCTTATCACACAATAATTTTGAAATAACTATTTTCTCTGTTATTCTTTTTCTTCAGAATTAGTAATTTTGAATAATTTTCCTCATTTGTTTATAATTTAAATTGGAAAGATAAAAGGATTCGTGTACATTCTTAGACGTTTTTCTTTAACACGTTCGTCCATATATATATATATATATATATATATATATATATATATATATATATATCACGGCCTTGTTATAAATCTGTTTGTTGTCTTAAGAATGTTAGAGTAATCAATGCTTTATCATACATCTTAACTTTATAATTGAACTGTGATAAGTGGTGGTTGAAAAATCATATGCTTTTAATTTGATGAAATTTAATAACCAAGTTCATATTTAGATACTGCTTAGTTGCTGAAACTCGAATAAGTGTGGTGGGTTAGGAAGTTGAATATTAATGATGGATGGCACATATTTTAAATGAAATGACACGATTTTATAGAATGTTACTATATATATATATATATATTTGTGATTTAACTGAAGTCTATGCGCCTATAGTAATTAAATTCGATGATGTTCTCCATAAGAGCTACTTTATGTATTCGTCTTAGCCAAAACAATTCCATGCCTGATAGGGTTCATTTAGATGAATAACAAAACGTTGTTTAGTTCGATTATTACTTAACTCTTTATTTTGAATCTTTGTTCTTATATCACATTAAATTTTGTGTGATAATTTAAAACACATATATGAAAGTTAGAAATAATTATCTGTGATTCATATTAGAATATAATTTACAAATAAATGGTTATTATAAATTCATTAAGAACCTCTTTAGTGCACTTACCTGTAGGGATCATTTGTTACAATATTTTATCAATATTGGTCTTTCAGTATTACATGTTTGTAACTGTTTTGATTGATCTTATTCTTAAGATTATCGAATAAAAGAACATACAATTGGAGTACTGGATTTCTTGAAAACAAAGTTATTTTCAATGATTCAACTATGATCAGTTTTGTTAATTACAAATTCTTCAGTTAGAGTTAAGGATTACCGGAAATCTATCGAAATGCATCCAGACTTCCTATTAGTTTCAAACGTTAACGAAGCAAGCTGTTCAGTCCTTGCCACTTGTGCAGCCGACTTGTCTATAATAAACTGCAAGATTGAACTAAACTCCTTTAACCACCCAACCAAATTTGTATTACGTTAACTTTTAGTTTATAAATCATTCACATTTTTTCTTTTCTATATAACCTTTTCAGAGTAGAAATAATAATTGTTTATCCGATACATAAGTTGTTGATCGCTGAGCAACAGCATTTTCATTTTGCTTTTATCTTTTACAGCCATAGCCATAACTGATAATAAAAATAATATCATGCCAAAGTCGTCTGCTAAAAGTGACAATTCAAAAAGTGGTAAGACGAGTGGGAAAAATTCAACTAATTCTAACAATAAAACTGATAATTCCTCATCGATCGGCTCTGGTAAACAGTCCAAGTTGGCAAATGCAGTGAAGGTAATATATATATATATATATATATATATATATATATATATATATATATATATATATATAATCAGAACAAATTGCGCTTACCTCAAGTTCAATGTTTTCATTTACGTTTTTATTCATTTGTGAAATAGTTCCTATGATGTCCTAGATTATTTCTCTTTTTTTACAAAGTCAGTGACATGTTAACCGTTATTCTCTTTGCTTAATGATCATTGATAAAATCCACTTAACTTACTCTTCAAATGAACATCTATTTACTCGTTTGATTGTGATTTACTGTAATTATTGTTATCTGTGGCGATGAATATTTGATTTGAGAAACAATTTTCAAATTAGGTGTACTTTATTTCACTGACAGATTGAAATGTAACAAATCTCAAATTAGTAAAATAGCTTATGTCCTCTTTACTGCCCAGGACCCTCAGTCTCACGTGCGAGCACGTGACCCCTAGACCACCCCTGAGTTCGAGTCCCGCGTGTGAGATGCTGGATGCGCACGGCTCAAGTGTCGTCCCATACTAGGACGAAACGGCCGTCCAGTGCTTCCAGGTTTTCAATGGTGAACTAACTTAAATCGACTGGTGATTTCAACTGTTAAAATGAATATTCCACTTGCTGATAACCAACTTAGTGTTTTGATTGAATAAGAACTTTTAAATGAGCATACATACATACTACAGTAACTACAGCAGGTTTATTTTAGATTGCACATAAGATTGACTATTAGAGTATTTAATCTTTTCATCTGTTCGAAAATAATTTAATCTCTTCTTTTAAATTGAACCGGTAATTCTGAACCCAGTTTGAACCTCATGAAATATTGTAATAATTTACTATTGTGTTTAGACTACGCCTTATTTTATGCTTTTAATACAATCTTCTCTAATTTACTGTTACTTAAGGTACGTCATATACTATGCGAAAAACAAAGTAAATGCTTAGAAGCTTTAGAACAACTTAAAAATGGTAAACGTTTTAATCAAGTAGCAGAAATGTACAGTGAAGATAAAGCTCGTTCAGGGGGTGATCTAGGATGGATGTCCCGTGGATCAATGGTTGGTGCATTTCAAGTTAGTTATAATTTAATTTACTTGAGATTATGCATTGATTACTCAATTAATTTTTGTTTTCCACTGCTTAATATCATCATCTTACTTGTAATTTATGCCATCATTGATAACATTGTATTATTCTTATTATAAATCCCAGAAATATATACATCTATCAATCCATTACCATTAAAATAGGTTAATTTAACGTGAACTGTACTGATACGAAAAATTATATAAATAATTAGTCGAAACTTTTTTTTATTTATCATTGTCTGAAGCAATCTATAGTATCGGAGTTAAGTGATTTTAAATAATTTCTTTTACAATAACTGCAACCTTATCATGATTTTGTTAAAGCTTTTAAATTTATCAAATATGCCTTCTGTATTACTTATAGCTGTGTATTTATCAAAATATGTCATCTTGATATTTCTCTTCTTACTTCACTATCAACTTCAATATTGTGAAGCTGAGAGTGTTATCAATGCAAACAACTCATTCGCGGTGAACCTAATAAATTTTTATGTTGGAATGACTTTTTTTCAATTTGTTGAAACTATTTTATTTATTTATTTATTTAAACACATAAATATTGGTACAAAGGGGCACTAGATATATATGCGACACACAAATCTTATTTGATTTGTGTGAGGGCTGTGATACTTCCCAGGTGCCCAAACTGAAACAAGTGGTTTTCTTAGATGGCCACACCCGGAGCCTTCAACATAAAGGTCTGATCCACAAGGTAGTGGAGCATCGTGAGGAGATGCAGTCCCATGGTAGCCGGTGACCAACAATTGGTTCATGCGCCATTTGTTTCCTCAAGATACTGAAGCCCATGTGCACCATTGGTTTGGAATCAGGGTTTTCCAACTCCCCTAGGTGAACTTTCCGTGTTCACCAACCCGGTTAATACGCCGGACATTCGCTTTTCGTCCTCTCAATTTCGTAAACAACAGTAATGCCACGAGAAGGCAGTGAGTAGGACTTCCCTGGCGGAGGCTATATATTCGCTGGCCATGTGAGAGCATTTGGAGAGGGAGAGCGGACTCTCCACACTCTCGGCCGTACTAGGGCATTTGGGGGCTTGTTGAAACTGCTATGATATACAAGTATTTTCTTCCCATGAAGAATTGACCTAAATTATAGTCATGAAACATCAGAAATACAAATTATTACTTATAGGGATATCACAAAAATATTATTTTTTTTTGGCAAATGTTTTTATTCGGGCTTCAATTGTTTGCTCACTTTTTTGATAATTTACACCTTATACATTTTATTTTTACCGGATATTTTGTAAGAGTAGTAATATTAATTATTCCTTTAAATCCCTTAAAATTGTTTATGTCATTTACTATTTCCGTAAATTTTTCACATTGGTCCATCACTCGTCTCTCTGCAAAGCTAGTTACATTCATACTGGTGTACCCCAATTTTCTAATTACACTTCAATATATTTTAACCATACTTTCAAAAGCACTATAAACGTACTTAAGCACAACTACTTCTCAGTTTAATCATTTATCTTTCATATCTTCAATAGATCATCAAAACATAATCTATTTTTTGGATTACTCAGTTTAAAAAAAGGGGATAAGGAACCGTTGATGTTCACTGTTGAAGAAATTAAAGCTAGTTAAAAATTATCAATCACTATTTAAATTCTTCGTTGAATAGCTTGATTCGGTTTTTTTTCAATTATTGAACATCATCTTGGTACTACTTTAGTCTTAATTATCAGTCAACCAGATTAATACATTCACTAGTGTTGACAATGTCAATTGATATTCTATAAAGAAAATATTTATTTTTTTCATTTGTCATTAACTTTTACCAAACTTATAATTTGCACTTTGTACTTTTTTTCATGATAAATAGTCGGAAATCTTCTGTTATTACAACAAACATGAACTACTGTTCATGTCATATATATTTTTGTTAGTTTAATTTGTTTACTGTTGACGATAACAAATAATAGTAATAATGATTTCCATTGAAATGATCAATATTATTATTATCTTTAATCGTAATAAAGAGAATAATGATGATGTTGACCAAACTTTTTATCAATGTTACGAAATTATTCCTACTCTCTGTTTCTGCTGTTATGAGACAAAACAAAAACATAAACAGTGTAACTGTTGAATTCAATTAGTATTGTTTGTTTGAATCTTTCCATTGATGTTTTTAGGACTGCAACTGGTCAGTATCTAATTGGCATATGTGCATACTGTGCGTATTGCCTCGATATAGCCTAAATTCACAAGCATTGTAAACAAAGATGAATAGTGGCTAGCAGTGGAATCCAGGACGCGCGTTTCGTCCTATTTGGGACTCGTCAGCTGGATGTACTTGCATTTCAGAGTTGATGTTCTATCTGGGACTCGAACCCAGCTCAAGATTTAAGCACAGGTGTTTATTTTTCCATAGATTTAAATGGTTTCTCAAACGACATCAATCATTGATGAAAACATTCTTCAGAATTAAACTATTACACAAACCTCTCAATCAGTGTTGTTAATTAATCTCATGTAAAATCAATTATTCATATTTATTAAATATTATTATTTTGTTTTACCAGTTAAATATCATAAATATCTATTCTTATTATGT